AACTCGATCTCTGCAATCTCAGTTAAGCGTGGCAGGCAGGGGCAGCTAATCAAATTAGCCAGGCCCCATGAATTATCCACATTTGAGTGAATCTCTGGGGTCATGACAAGGCCAATGGCCAATGGCCACTTGGTCGAGGTGAGATTTATATTTCGGCAACGGAATCTCCATGTGCAATTTTCATGTCACACACAAGGTATAAAGTCATCATCATTTTTGCTAGACTAATGAATGGTTGCAAAGTGTCATCAAGGTGATTTATTGGTTGAAAATTTTACACTTTTATGATAATGAAAAAGAAAATTAGAAGAGTCTTAGGATTTAGGGGTTTACTAACCTGAACCACAAGATCTTGGAAAACTTTTTAAATGGATTATTAACAATTTAACAATCCTAATGTAACTTTGACATCAAAAAAGTAAAGAAAATCTATTTTGTTTACCCCAACTTCAAGGTTCCTAAACTGTTTTTGATGACTAAATAGGTTCGTACTACAAAACCATATCAATTTCCTGCCCAGCGTCAACAAAAACTAATCAGTCTAATATATATAACTTCGTATTATTCTCGTTCTATCTGCGATAGCATTCGTATAATATTCAACAGACACCTGTCGGCGCCATAGCAAATGCTGACTGCCAGCCAGATAAGTCCATTCATCAATAAAAGTCACTTCGAAAGTATTTGTAATTATAATTTGAGTTTGCAAGTAACAGAAGACTATATAAGCCTTAAGGTCGATAATAAAATATTGGTGAAATTATATATTCATTCATGTCATTCGGTTATTTCGTTCAGTTTGTCCCACATTTGTCGATGGTTGGATCATTTTTTATGCCGTTTTTTTTTTGCCATCTCATTTGGAAAAAGTTTTGTCGCCAAGAAGAGAGCCGAGATCTCCCCACCTGTTTCCAGGTCCAAGCAAATACCAACCACAACAGACATTTCCGCCACAGAAGAGCCCCGAGATGATGACTGGGCCAAAGTAAATAAGGAAAACGTTTTTCAATTGCCTGGAAATGTTAAGAAACTGTACGGCTGTCAGCGAAATGAAGCGAAAGTGATAGCCGCACGTTCAGAGCCAGATAAATGGATCGATAGTGGGCCAAGGCGTTACTTGGATAGTAGGGTGTCATGATCGGGGAGATTGGGTAAACAATAGAATTGCAGTGTGCAATCATGGCATTAGGATCTGTCTCAAATAATGTTGCACATGACAGTCAAGCATGTGTCAGGGTGCTACCACCAGTTTAAGTTAAGATAAAAGCAAATGTCTTAGACTTAGACTTGGAGATTAAGTCTTAGAGTATGATTGCAGAAAAGAAGAAAAGAAGCTTCATATATTTATAGGACTTACTCGATATAATCTGAAATCAAAGAATGATCAGCCTTATTCATAAAAAGGGGGATTATAAAACCATAAAGAGATAAGGAGACCAAATGACCGACATTAACTTTTGATGAAAACAAAGTATGCATAATTTCATTTCTTTCCTGGATTTTCCTGGCTAATCATATCTATTATCCAGTCTTTGGCTTGGAAACCCAATAAATTTGAATGCCTACTTTGATGGGGTCATTCCTGGGGGCATAGCTGCCATCTACGTATCCATATCCATATCCATCTGCATTTCCAACTAACGCCACGACCGTTGGCGGTTGACGACTTTGGGGCCCATAAAAAGGCATTTCTTGTTGCCATTACTTTGTTTTGTTTTTCTTTTTCATTTTTCCTGCCTCCCTGTGTTTTCTTTTCCTTTTTTTCTCTATTTTTTTTTTTTGCAACAATATTTCCAACGGCGCATGCGATATGAGTATATTTTCATAATTAATTTCTTTGGCTTTTGTTGTGCAGAAGTGAAATATTGCTAGCTGGTGTTGTTGTTGTTGTTGTTTGGAAAACCTAGTGCCGAGCTGTGACAGTTTTTGTTGTTGTTGTTGTTGTAGCTGTTGCTGTTGGGTTTTTCTTTAAGTTATTTTTTGTTTTATCCCCGCAATCACCCCGCCACACCAGTTTTATCGACAATTTCACTTTTGCGCAGCCGCAGAGGAGGAGCAGCAAAGAAGATGCAGCTGAAAAGCGGGAGGTCGGCCAGTCGGTCGGTCTCTCATATGCGATGACGAGCCAACAATTGCGGTTTGGTTATTTTGCCCCCAAAAAGATTCCCAAGCACATTGTTGGATCGCGTGCATTCGCCTCTTTTATTTTATTTTTTTTTTCCTTTTTTTTACTAGCAACATTTGCCATTTGTCAAACCCTATGGGCGCAATGGGCCTGAGTTTCCCATTTTTGCAATTTTTTCAAGTGCAAAGCCAAGGTTGCATGTGGCCAGAGATCCTCTCCGGCGGGAGTTGCTTTTATTATCGACACGAAACAAGTTTTTAGGGGCTCTGTCGTTCCATCGCCAGTTCCCAAGAGTTCCAAGAGAGTTCCGATACCAGATTCAGTGCCCAGACCCAGACTCTGTGAATGGGCTTGGAGAGTTCACTTGGCGAAAAGACTGCCCTTAGGCCTTCCAATTATATTAAATCTTTTGTTTATTTAAATCTTTGTGGTGATGTTTTCTTAATTTCTCCCTCGCTGAAGAGGTTTTCAGTGAGCTTTAAAGTGTTTGCTTTGATTTGCATATTTCCAAGTTCTTTTAGTTGATCAGCAGCTTAGTTTTCTATACATTTAACTGATTCAAATAGCTTAGTCTATATATTCTTATTAAGTCTATGTATTCTTATTAATACACAGTGTAATTAGTAAGTATATATTTTCCAAGTGTAAAATACGACTCCTCCATCCGTCAGCTGCTCGGTTGTTTGCCAACAGTTGCAGAATTTCACTTTCTTTTCAAATTGCGGCGACCTCGATTTATTGCCAACCCAGCGACATCGCCATGTGGACGAGGTGGATTCCACAGCGGAGTGGGTTTTGGGATTGAGTGGCTGTGGCAGTTGCTGTACCAGTGGCACTGGCTTTTGGTGGCATTAGTGAGGCCCCCGCGGATCTGCTTTTGTTTTGATGCCCCGTACCGTCGGCGGGCATAATTGAATTACGTTGAGTCGTCTTTGAGCTAAAATCCCAGCTTCTTCTTCTCGCTTCTTTCCTAGCATTGGCTGTACGTGGAAGTCTATGTATATCCCAAATAAGAGACGAGTCTGAATAAACACATAAAATAATAATAATTATGGGAAAGTGAACGCCCATTGTTAACTCTCGGCTGTCTCCGTTTTTGGCTGCTTATTGATAACTCACATTAATGAGAGCTAATTTTCACATAATTAGTTGGCCCAGCTCAATGGGGGACTGGGAAACGAGGTCTAGGGGTTGCTGGAGTTTTCCAATTTTGGATTAGGTCAAAAGTTGGAGAGGCTACCTAGAGAGAAACTAACTACAATGTCCGGAGACAAATTTTAACTATCAAATTTTAACTATTTAACTATTAAAAAGCAATAGCAATAAATTTAAGTAAGTCTTAAGGAATGGTAATATTATTAAAATATAAAAATAAAATAATAAATTCCATCTATGGATCTCCTAGTTCCCACACTTCTACATTTTACTTACGATTATCCAAAAGCTTCCCACAATTTCCCATATCATTTCGTTGAACTTCTGTTGACCTTGTGAGGGGGTGGCTCTGGCTCTGAGATGACCATCAATCGGATGCAGTCCAGCCAGCTGGCAATAAATCAGCGGATGAAAATTATGGCCATAAATAATGGCAAATTGTCGTTTAGAGATGCACATGAGCTGGGAAGGAAGTCATCATCAGAGATTTTACTTGTTTGATTTTTGGTTTTCTTTTTTTGTTTTTTATTGCGGTTGAATGTGTGCAAAAAGGAAGCTGAGGGGAAGAAGGAAGGGGAGATGGCCAGTAGCTGGTGGCCAATTGCTTTGGCTAATTATCAATTTGGACAAGTGACCACCGACCCAACCCGAAGCCTACTTGGAGAAAGTCCATATGGTGTGAGTGTCGATTTTCAAAAGAAAACACCCAAGGAAAATATACATAACTGAAATAGAATATTTTATTAGTATTAGAAATGTTGCTATTAAAACAGTTCATAAATCTTCAAAAATATTGTACATAAACATTGGCAGTAAACGAAAACCATTAATAATAAATTGCAAATTCCCCACTAAGCGAAATTTAAAAGCGGAAAAGTTTTCTTTTCATTTATGAACATCCATAAAGGAGTTCCCACTTACCACCTGATAATTGGGTCTTTATCTGTAGCCACTAAACATTTTATAACATAGTCACTTTGTTTTTGCGACAACTGCTGGAGTAATCAGTTCGTGGAAGCCTTTCCATTTCAATGCCATTATCACCGTTCGATAATCTGATATTAATTTGTTATTGTAAGTCCATATTTTATCGATTTCTTGGCAGCGGTTTTAAAAGTGTCATCGGTTTTTGTTTTCGTCTTGGAAAGTCTAGTTTAAAGTTATATTTATGTAACTGCTTACATAGGTAATATCTGGGAGAAATATCAAAAACTAAAAATTTTAAAATTGCCAACAAATAAAACTTAACTTAAGTAAAACTATTATTTTAATAAATACCAAATTGAGATATCTCTTAATAAAGCCAAATAGCGGTTAAAAATTGAAAGTTTTGGTCACATTTTGATAAATTTTAAAATTAGTAGGTGCTTAGTTTAGCTTGAGAAGTGTATATATTTAGCATTTCAACTTTTTATACAATTAATTTTCCAATTTTCCTAACTATTGGCGAGTTTTTCTTTCGACCTTGCCAATAAATTGGCTCATTTATTCGCTGGGATTTCTTGATTTGCCAAGTGTCAACTACAAAGTCCATGACAACTGAACCGGATTAGCTGCCTCGTCTGGTGGCACATCTTTCATCTCTGTCCGCAACCGGATCGCCTTGCTCTCTATAAATTTGGAGCGTTGGCGTCTGGTTGGGATTTATGACATGGAAAGTGAAATTTGGCGGCTAATTGGATTTACAATCTATCTCTTTCTCTCTCTCGGATTTTTTCAGGCTCACCATCGGCATTCGAGGCATCTAGGTCTTCTTACCTTGATATTGGCCTCATGCCTGACCATATCCACAACGCAGTCCTTGGAAAGATCAGGAAGATCGGCGTTGCCCGCTCAACCAGCAGATCATTTGGTGCCGCCACCCTTGCCCGTACCACAGAGACTATCCCATGCTAGTGCAGGAACACCAGCGGTTGCACCTTCCGCCCCTGCGCCGCCCATTCCAGAGCCTGGGTTCATGACTCGTGTGGCCAGATGGTTTGGCTTAGGTGGCGGTCAGTCGTCCAAGGATCAGCAACTGAGTGCCACCAACTCATTGAGCTATGCCTATCCCAAGCCAGTTCCCGGATTCGACGCAGGTGGCAAGCCCTGCAGTTTGTGCAACAAGTATCCCTGGGTTCCAATGGTGGGGCAGCAGCAACCACAGCCAAGTCAAGTTCATCCTCAACAGCTGAACAACCAGCTGCAGCATCATCATCAGCATACGCAACAGCTGCAAGTGCAGCAGCAGCAACTGCAGCATCTCCCGCAACAGCAGCAACTTGTCCCGCAACAACAGCCACTTGTCCCGCAGCAGCATACAACATGGCAGCTGCAACAACCGCTGGCTCAAGCTTCGCAGCAACGTCAGCGGGCGGTGCAATTCCGTCCCAGCCCCGGACAAAGTGTCTTTTTGCCTTTGGCAGTGCCACTGCCTCCGCTGTACAATGCCCAGCCATTCCGACCGGTGGTGCAACCGGTGGCCAAGGAGAATGCGGTGGCTCAGTCGGAGGTGAGACCAGTACCAGTTTCCCTACCGCTGCCAACACCCGCGCCACCTGCCAGCACCTCCAGTTTCGAGATCGTGCAGAGCCATCAGGTGACAGATTTTGTGACCTCCGTTGAATATCCAGCTACCTTTGTTCAGTCACATGCCATTGATCTTGGATCCACCAGCTCCTTGGACAATCACAGACCCACTCAGGACGTGGGAGCTGTAGAGCAGGAACAGCTGTCAGACATCAGTACGGTTCGCTATCAGTTGGAGGATTTGAGCAGTGGCCAAGTCCATCAGCATTTGCCAGCCTCTCAATTGCTTACGGAAATTGGACAGTTTGCGGAGACTACGACTCAGCCACCACCAGCGGATAACTATCCAGCGGCCTCGTCGCAACAGCAATTGCAGCATGAACAAGAGCAGGAACAGGAACAGGAGCAACCCTTCTACTATGCCGAGCAATTCCAAGACGAAACCAGCACACTGATCTATAGTACCACCACGGAGTTGCCCACTACCACTGTACCACCACCACCTCCCCATTCACCAGTTATTGAGCTAAATAATCACCTGGCGGCAGTGCAGCGTCCACATCATCCAAATTACCGACAGGGAATCGGAAGGGGCAGGGAAACGCCCAAAGGTCTGCTGGACTCGCCCATTAACCATGCCCCCTTGGCCGGAGCCGGTGGGCGGCCTTTCACCCGTGACCCCGCTGATCTTAGCTTCCGGCTGAGCCAGGTGTACACGCCCACGCAGCCACCAACGCCAACTTCCACTTATGGAGCCATCGATGCCAGTGGACAGTTTGCTGGAATGGCACCACCAAGTCCACAACAGGTGATAATACCCTACACTACCAAACAGCGACCACGCCCCTTCGAGAGCTGGACGCCTTTAAAACCACAGCACCAGCAGCATCAGCCACTGCATAACCATCAGAATCACCACAATCACCATAGCAATGACCTTGAAGAGGAGCCTCACGAGCAGCAGGAATCCAAGTTGGCCACAGCCACGGTCACGGCACCACCGAATTCGCGACGAACCACAAAATATCTAACCAAGATCTTGGCCTCCAATCTAAGGGAGTTGCTTAAGCGGGAAAGGGAAACAAAGAAGTTGCCTGGTCAAGGATTGGGTGTGGATATCACTCGGCTGCAGCAAAAAATCGATGGATGGACGGAGCAGGAATACAACTCGCTGTCGCACCGACCCAGCACGCCAACGATTCGTGGGAGATCCAAGCACATACCCTCTGAATATCTGACCACCACGACAACAACTCCTGCACCGATATCACAACGCCAATCGAAAACCACTCGGGGTGAGGGTTTTGAACTGGGTGGTGCTCCACCCACCGATGCCGGAGATCTGTCCACTTCTATCAACAATCTAGAGCAACTGCATCTGTTGGGCGAACGGGGATCGAAGGGTTTCCAGCCCATTGATGACAATCGCCTGCATTTCGATTACTACGATGCCCAGCATCGACTGAGATCCACTTCGGCCATGACCACCCATAGTCCCACTAGCACTACTACCACTGTGCCACCACCGACGACAACGACAGTGGTGGCACCACTCTATGTGCGCAGCACTCAGGCGCCCAAGGAGCTGTGGAAACAGGCCCAGGTGGCCATCCTGCCACAGACCAATGAGAAGGTGTATGTGGTCACGCCACAACCACGCCATCAGGAGCACCATCCAGCGGATCGTCATGAGGCTTCCGCCTCGGCGCCAAGGCCTGTTTACCAAACGCCAGCGCCACGGTTTCCACGGATGCGGCCTACTCCAGGTAAAAGGGGTGAGATCTTATAAGGGGGTGGTAATAATCATTTAGCCATTAATGAACAAACTTATATATATTTTCTTACCCACTTAGCTGGCGAAGTGAAGTCGGCCACGCCCACCAGTTCGTCGCAGCTGCGCAACTATACGCCGGATATCTTCGGGCTGATGGGACTTTCCTCCTATGTGCCCGCCGAGCCCGTGGAGATAATCGACGGAAATTCCAAAGTAAATCGCAACTCTCCCCGTCTAGACATGTAATCGAGCTTCTCTCTTGTCTCCCTGTCACCACACACACACATCAACCACCCACATTAATCAACCCACCGAACTGCACCACCATATACCACCATGTACCACCCACAAAACACACATCATACACCACAGGTCATCACGATTGTGACAGCGGCACCGACGGCGGCTGCACTTCAGCGATCCACGGCGAGGTCCACAATTTCACCGTCGCCCAGATAGAGGTCGGAGGTTAAGGTCAAGGCCGAAGAGGTCTAGCACCCCCATCCCATCCTGTTGTAATATATTTCCCAGCCCAAGCTGCCCCTCCAGGCCACTCCGATCGCCAGAAGGACCGAGGATTCAACGTAGATATAGGAGAGCAATGTCTTTGGAAGTGCTACGATAAGAGAGAGAGAGATCCGAACCCGAATCAAAGTTAGAGTATTTTCGCATTTGGTAGCTTTATAATCACATAGACGAGGACCATGGAGTATCCAAGGACAGAGAACCAAAGGAGTGGAGCTAACCCTAGTATATATATATTTGCAAAAGGATTTCTAATCACAATTCTTTTGTAGTGTTTTTTTTTTAATAGTAAACTCTGTGTTTGTTTTTTTGTTCTGGCTCTCTCCCTTTGTTAGTTGTAGTTCTATGTATAAATAATCTATTATATCTATTTCAATCTATCTGAAGCGTTGGTTGTCAGGCTGTTGACAACGTTTATAATCGATGTGCAACCAAAATTTAGCAAAAATTAACATAAACGAACGATCAAATAAAATAATAAAAATCAAAGTCATTTTAATGTACCTACTCTACCTTGTAAGTATGATTGAATTACAAATAAAATATCATTGGACTTTTAATGAAATGAAAAAGCAAGTATTTTGTAATAACTACTTAAATGTATATAAAAGTTTTCTGAATAAACTTTTCATTATTTATAGGAAACAGCTTTCAAGAAATATAAAATCCCTAAAAGCTAGCTATCAAAAACTGCAAAAAATTGAACTTAATGCAGCTTGGCACGCTTTTGGGCAGAGAGAATGGAAATAATATTGGGAGACATTTATTATACAAAATATTTACTTATTGCTAAACAAAAAAAAAGAGTTTTTCTATGCTACAATTTCTTTGATTTGGTTTACGCCAACTAGCGGCATTTTCAGCTGTTCACCAGTCTCTGCCTGCGATGGTGCCACCGAACAACGGCCTCCAGAGTCCAGGAAGTTGCCGCCACAAAGGACATCATGTTGAGGCAGTGCAGGGTAATCGCATAGTTGAAACGATCCCGCACCATGCCTGTTGAAAAAGCAAAAAAATTTTACAATATGTTCAAAAATATCATATCATATTTAAGCCAAAATCACTCACCAACAAATGGACCACAGGCCATGGTGAACAGTCCCGAAATCAGTAACTGTAACCCGGAGGCTCCTGGCAGGCGATTCAATGGCACATAACCAGGTATGATCAGTGGCCAAAAGATGGTGCGCACCCCCTTACACAGACCGATCCAGACAAAGCAGCCGAGGATTGTGCTGTAGGATCGCGTACAGGCCACCACCGTGCGACCCAAAGCGATTCCCACCACTCCGATGAGGAAGAAGACCCGATTGTCCCACGGTATCTTTTCGGTAAGAAAAGGTACTAAAAATCGCATGATTATGTCCATACTACCCAGCAGCGAAATCGCCAACGTTGCCTGGGGTATATCGAATCCAAAGTCGGCCAGGATAAAAGGTGTCAGTATAGAGAAGTTGAGTTCTCCAAAGTTAATTATAGTGAGTCCGGCCACCAAATTAACGAAGGTGAAATCCCGCAACAGGTCAAGATCGAAGAAGGTCACAACTTTGGCCAGGAAACTCATCTGTGGATTATGTATGGGAGCATTCATAGCTGCCGCTTCAGCTTCCTTCTCTTTCTGGTTATTGTTGTGCTCCTTTCGTTTTTCCGAACACCGACAACACAACTTGGCCTCCAAATTGGATTCCACTCGTTCCCGGCGAAAGTTATTGGGTCGCAGGAACTCATCTTTCTCGTTGTTCTGCTCTTCATTAATTCGACAATGTAGCCTTTGGGTTTGCTCTAGATCCTTGGAACTCGAAATTGTTCGAAATCCCAAACGGCCCGAGGTCAACGATAGCCGGGATCCGTACCAGCCATCATTGGCACGCGATAGCATTGGAGTTCCTGGTTCACAGATCTCGTAACCTGGTCGCTGGGCATCGTCGTCCTGGCACAGATATTGGCTGGAGAATATGCCGCCCGGTTCACGTTTCTGTTGCCAGGCACAATGAGCACATAACGTCTCCGCTTGCTGCTCCTCATCCGTCTGCTGTACCTCCAAGGGCTTCACATGGTAGCGAACCGGCTGATAGATCAGGGCACAAACAAACGAGTTCAGCGAGATGGCTGCAAAGAGCAGAGTGGTTCCCTGAACCCCAAAGATGCCCAACATAAAGGTCATCAGATACGGCAGGAAGATCGGACCAAGGCCTGTTATTGTCCACGAAAAGCCAGCGGCCCGACGACGTTTCTTTTGGAAATACGTGTTGATCGCTAATGAGGAGGCCGACACACTGATCCCCATGCCAAATCCTGCGGGTCAGAGGAAAGAGTTTATTAAGAATATGTCAATATGGGTATATAAAATATGATATATCTTTAATTATTTAAGAATTTATAAAAAACAAATCAATTCAATTTCAAGGACAGCCCTTGCCAAAGCGGGTTTACCGAGAAAATAGTAAAGTGTAAGGACCTTTTGGATTATATCTGATATCAAGCACGATTTGGGCATTGGTTTCCTCGGCAAGTAGGATTTCATCTATCCTTTCATCTATCCCGGATAAAAGATTTAAAGTGAAGTAAAACTTAAACTTTTTACAAAAAGGTAAAGAAATTCAAATTTCTATTGAAAGTCTAGTAATAGTATTTCTGTTTATAGAACTCAGGAGATTGGTACTCGCATTCGACATCTACTCGTATGTATCGTACGTAAGGTACTATTAACCCGAACAATGTAATGCATTGAAGTATATTTGATAAATAACAAAATATCCAAAAACCATAGAATACTCACCGAAGAGCAAGGCATAGGACACCATATAGCCCAGGAAGGTTTCACAAAAGGCGGTGAGGGCGATGCCGGTGAAGATCAGCAGGGAACCGGCCATTCCAACCTGCCGAAAGGTAAACCTTCTGAACATCGGTCCATTCAGTAAACCCGTACACGCCGATATGGCGGGATTTGTGTTGATAATCGCTGTGATCTGAGAACTAGACATCCCCAAATCGGTCAGACGGCCCCTAAACAGGAAGCCAAACTGTTGCAGGCAGGGATAAATGGAGAGCTGTGAAGAAAAGCTATTAGAAGAATTTGGAATTTGTTCTAAATTGATTTTTGCTATTCATAAGATGTATATTTTTAAACCCAAAAACGAATATAATTATAAAGGAATTTGATATTACAAAGACTAAAATTGAAAACAGTTTTCCAGCTAGGGGAACAGATGACCGTTGTGTTGGTCTTGTTAGGGATAAGGTTATGAAAATTTCATGTTAGAACTTAAGAAAATAAAGATTTGTTTGAAATATCAACTGAACAAATGTAGACGTTTGCTTTATTTGCAGCCTCTCATACAGTCTACAAATAAGAATTTAATGTTTTATATACTTGGACTTACATTAGAAATGCCAGCGGCGACGCAAACGAGCCACGCCCATCCCCCGTCGGGCGCCACAAAATCCTCACCAAGATCGCTCTTGTCATGCCTATTGTAGTATCGGCTACGTGTAACATTTTGCAGTGGTCTGGTTGTGTCCTGATAGACCTTCTTCTCCATCGCCAGCCCTTTGCTGAAACAGAAAAAAATATTTAAAAAATAAGAAATCCTGTATCCATCTCTGATTCGCATGTCTGCTCATGACCCTGACAATGGGGAAGTGATATGTTGGAAAATTCCATTGAAATCAGCTGCCAGGGTTCGTAAATGATTTACGGCAATTACTTGATCGCAAGACGTTAACGATCACTTGTCACAATTAACCGCATACGGGTTATGAAGATGCTTCTTCCCAGCGGGCATATCGTTGTCATAGTGTTGTTGCCAGCGGAACTGAAAGCCGGGTTCACGGCTATGGACTAACCAAAAGAAAAAAGAAAAAAAAAACGAAAATCTACGGATTTCTAGCATTCTGATGATCGCTCTGTAATCTGCAGCTTTCCTTATCAGTAGCGTCATGTGACAAATTTCGACCGAGAGACCCAGACCAAAGTTAGCGCGCAAATTTTTGAATCATGTTATTGTCCTCTATGCACATAGAAAAATATTAATTAAACTAAAATGTATCTTAATTGATGTCATAAAGAAAGGTTTTCAAATAATAAAAAATTCAAATAAAATATAAATAGTTTTATTTTATGAGTTTTTTTATAGTTTAATTAACTTTTCAGAAAAAAATATAATATTTTTTTGTGCGTGGAGCGTAAGGATGAAGTGCAGAGATTTCTAAGATCAACCCACGCCCAAGGTCAGTGGCGTCTGGTCCGTGAGAAGTCCACTTATCAGTAGTTCATTGCTATTTTATTTCGTAGTGCCCCCGATCGGATCTATGGGCAGGCATTGTCTCGGGATTCCAGCCGATTCCAGTTTCTAGGTGCGTTGGCGTGTGCAAATTCACATGATCGATGATGAAATGGGATGGAAAATGGAAAACAACTCAGACAGAAGGCAAAGACAATCAATTAGGAGAAAACATAACAATCTGATATTGATTGGTATTGAAATAATTCAAATAATTAACAAGAAATCAATATCAACTAACGAAACTATCGAGTAGATTAGAAAAGAAGTTAGGGAAATACAAGGGGACTTTTCATAGACACATGTTAGGCCAAAAAGGAAATTAAATCGATAATTATTATTGCTTTCGTCATTTTAATTTCGTTATGACACACAATTTAAGCTTCAAATCTTGTAATCACGAGACTTTTGATAACAAATTCCACTGATAGCGAAAAAAGGTCTGAACAACCAGTTAGGCTCTCCAGAAACTTAAAACAAATGACTTGCACTTAAAGAAGGGTTAAATTGAATTTGAAAAATATTTTTGTCTTGTGTTAATCAATTCAATTAGCATGTACAAAAACTTAATTAAAGATTGTATAGCCCTAGATTTAAAACTTAAATCTTAAAAAAGTAACTTCTAGGAAAGTTCTTACGAGTCGCTTAGTAATCTCTACCATAACGTAATGCATCATTAGGAGATTGAACCCTCACGTTCTGACAATCTAACAAATAGTTTGAAAGTGCATACTTTTTGAACTTTTGTTAATTATAGCACAGCTGCTTTAGCAACATTAGTATTTATTTACGTTGAAATTTCATTTTTGTGTTTGCTTAAAACTTACAAATATATGACATTTGCACGTTGCTCGTAACTCATGTGAGAATTTGTCTAAACTAAAATGACAGTAAAAACTAATATTGTAGACCATTTTCTATTTGCCAAAGTAAATATTTTTGTTTGACTTTAATTGAATATATATTTTATCCAATTGGTTAGGCATTCGATTTTAAAAACTTCCATCTACTTGAATCTTTTGCCAATAACCTCAGAATAGCTTAGCACTTCATTCACTCAAGTTGATTGAAAACAATTGGCACAACCAGTAGATACAGATCGAGATAAGTAAAGCCCGGTATGGATCCATCGATAAGGTGATAAGATTGCGATGACGAGCATGGTTACATGGCCATGGAGCTGGGTTCTTTTAACCGGCAACTGGAAGCCACATATTTCACTACCAGCTGTGCTTCCCAAATCGCTAAATCGATTAGGGTATTGACACTTTGACGCCTTTGACTAGTTTTGGCATACACTTAAAGAAATAAACAGGAATTATGTACAAAAAGAAGTTTTCTAAACTAAGAATTTGTGTACTACTAAAAGGAAGTTCGGAATAGATTTCCCAGAGAAACTAATATGTTTTTCTTTTCTTAAGAATTTCTCATATAATTTTGTAAAAAAAATTTTGTATCCAAGAATTTTATACACCTGAACTAGCAATACTGGCGATTATATTCAACTATCACCCAAATCTACACATCAAATTTACACATTCTTTTCGGCCACTTCCTGCCTATGTGTGCTTCTGAATTAAAAGATTAATCGGGAGGAAATTAGAAGGGGAAAATCAATCAGGTGTTTGCGAACATCTTGCTGATAGCAGGGCCAAGAAAAAAAAAAAACGTCGGATGAACTCGTGCGAGGTGTGTGATGGGAACGTGTCGCACCCACTAAATCCCATTCCATCCCGATTCCGATCCCAATCTCGCCAATTTACCTTTATTTCGTTATTCACTAATTCCGTATTCTGTATTCCCAATGGGATCCGTATAGTATCTCCTTGGCAAGCCCGCCAATTGGCAGCACAGCTCTTCCTGCGCCAGTAGTTTTCCGTTTTTAGTTTTTAGCTTTTATTTTTGGCGGTTGCTGTTATTTATTTTTATACACACTACAAGATGCACTCACACACAGTTCGTACCGACTAAAAGACTGACGACGACTTTCTGAATGGCCTGCATCTAATTGAGAAACTACAATGCGATCGATGGTCCAAGTTCAAGGTTACAGTTAGAGTTGGGTTCGAAGTTTCTCACTCCTTGAATTAACTATAGGTATATGTATATTGAGAGATCTATAAATCCTAGCTACGTCACATTTTTCGCGATGCTACTAACGATATGATCCCGAAAACTTTATTTCACAATAGCTCGACGTAATCGCGGTACTTCCATTGCCGCCAGCTGCGGAAATGAACTAAACCGAATCTGAACAGAACAGAATTGTTATGAGCTAGAAACAACAAACGCCGATGGGGAAGATCGGATCGACTAAAACGCCGCCAATCGATCGGCAACTACAACATCCCCACGTTAAATACCAGTGCCGAACGCTGTTGGTTAACAGTGCTGTTCGGCTTTCGAGATGAGGCAATAGTTTTAGCCACCCTCGAAATGGTTCTGTAGGTTCTTTTACACGCCACCCCAAAACTATTTCCAAACTTAACATCCGAAATTTTGGTTTATCTATGAATAGGAAGATAGATCTCTGGCGGGAAGCATATGTGAAAGCCTAAAAGTGGGCAACAAATTTGTGGCTTGGATATAATGGTTCTTATCATTATTTTGATTTATGGCGGGCATTACGAGAAACCTATGTCTAAAATATGAGAGGGGTTTACCTTAATTTTGCTAATTAACGCATATAAATTTTGTTTTGATTACTTGTTGTTTCGAATATGACATAAACCGAAAGGATCTAACAGTTTTTCATACATGTATTATTGTATAACTCATAACTTGCATTAGTTTTGGCTTCAACGATAAGTATTCTTGATATTTTTAAATATTCCTTTGTCTAAATATCTAGTTAGGCTGAGACCTCAATTTGTACTAAAAATTCAGCCTAACTAACTAATAAATTTAAAAAGTCCCTAAGAATATATTTTAGGTACGTAATACAGTTCAAAGGCTGCATATGTTCTGGGAATACCCTTTATAACAAATACCAAATGGTATTTAAGAAAACGGCCACACTGTTCCAAGTGCCGGTTTCGGTTCACGTTGCCACTTTTGTTCGTTTGCCACTGAGTTTTCTATCAAAATAACCGAAAAATCGGGACTTGAAGCAACGGAAAATGTCAGGAAAGTACGAAAAGCTGCAGCAGCAGTTTCTCTGTTGCTATCCGGTTAAGAAGATGGCCTGGTCGGTAAGTGATACACATGATTCATATGAAATGTACCCGACTACCTGTTGCATCTCAACCAATTGGACTTTTATTGCAGTCCGTCAAGTTGCCTTTAAACTGGGAGGATCAAAAGGAACTGATAGCGGCCACCAGTGGCCATCCGATGAACCAACGATATCCTGTGCGTCGCAGCTATCTGGAGGCCTTTGTCAAGCAGTTGATGCACCTGCTCCGTGAACAGGAGGAAATACACGATGATATATATAGCAGTTTGTGTGGACCACTGGCGGAAAAAACCGATAACGGATCAGTATCCTATGCCTACAAGCACTATCTACTTGAACCTGGCGCCCACATAACGCTGCGTGAATCCAATAGCTTTGTGAGCGAAGGCACCACGGGATTGTGCACCTGGGAGGCGGCTTTGGCCCTCGGCGATTATCTTCTGCAGCACCGTGACGTGGTTAGTGGAAAGAACATAGTTGAGCTAGGAGCTGGTGCTGGACTTCTGGGAATCCTACTTAAACTACCCGCTCTAAAGCTTAAGGTGGGTCAGGTTCTTTTGACCGATGGCAGTGAGCCGTGTGTCCAGCTGATGCGTGAGAATATCGACCTGAATTTCCCGAATACACCATCAGAGGAGCGACCACAAGCGGAGCAGCTTAGCTGGGATGCAGTTAGCGATTTTCCCTGGCAATCCCGTGCTGAAACGGATCTTCTATTGGCCGCAGATGTAATTTACGATGATTCCCAATTTGATGCCCTGTTGGGTGCCTTGGATTACTTTTACAAAAGACGAGGAAATGAATTAGAAACCCTTCTGGCCAGTACAGTACGGAATGTGGACACCCTGCACAAGTTTATGACCCAATTAGGTGAGTTTTTATATAAAAATGCCAGAATATATATTAAACCTTTTTCGTTTTTAGACATTCATGGCTACAAGGTGACTCCGTGTGCGAATGTCTCCGCTTGTGCAAGCCACTTTTGTCGCGACCATACCGCTGCCGTTCAGATTATCTCCATAAGACGCTAGTTTTAGTCCTAAAATAAACCAACACAACGAAAACAAACATTCACTATCTGGATCTCACTTAAGATCTTAATTGGTCCGCTGTTTAGATAGTAATTAACAGGATTCTAAGGGAGATACGCAATATTTTTACGGAATATTTTACTCTTTAAATTATTATATTTAAAATTTAGATTCTGTAGTCAATGGACAAGATAAAACCATATTATCCTTAACTTTTATAGCACTTATGAGGTTTTAGCTCTTATAAAGCGATTTTAGACTGAGAGGTCGTTTTATTGTGGATTAATGAAAATAATTATTTGAGTATTTGTAATTAAGTTATAAAAGAGAATGTTAAAATCGAAAGCATATAATGGGCAAATCCTCACTGATTAATGGTGGGAATAGTACCGTCGTTTAGCCATTTAACGTTGAGCTGTTCGATCTGGTGCTTCATAAAGATAATGCCGTACACCTCGTACTGAATCTCTAGCAGTTGAGCGCGATGCGTCCGTGGGACTTTCATGCCGACCACAAGGGCCACCAACGAGGTGATGATCAAAAAGACGAATCCTTGTGCCATCAGGGTGCTGGAGTCGGTGGCATAGAAGTATGAGTTCTTTGCATCCGCCACAAAGTAGAAGTACACGATACTGGTGCAGAGTAATTTGAGGACATAGGAGACACATATGATGCACTCGGTGAAACGTAGATGGGTGACCTCCATCAAGACGATTTGTTGGCTGGAGTATGACAGGCCAAAGAGCACGAGAAGCAGCCATAGTGACCACCTAGACTCCGTGACGCTGCAAAGGATCATGGCCAACACAGTAAAGAACACTAAGGCCACCTGGGTACCCACAAAGGTAACCTTCACCGACAAGAACCATTGGAAGGCAAGGGCCAGCAAGCTGCCCCCGAAGATTACCCAGAACATGGCATCGATTCCAGAGAACTCCGTCAATCGAATGGCAGGATTCAGGGCAAACCAATAGATAAAGTACACGAACAGGGCAAACTGCACGGCCTCCGTGAAGAGCAGTAGCAACATCATGTTCCACTGCTGATTTTTGGTCACGTAGAAGAACTGCAGCCGCTTAATCACCTCCGAACGCTTCTCGAAGATGCTGCCATTGGAGTTGGCGATACGTAGATCATTGTCCATGCTGTTAACCAAGTCCACGTTGCCCAGGAAGTGAAGAACTTTCTGGCCTATAAGAATTGCCAGCATTGCAGCTGCCACACTCAGATAAGTTCCAGCGAAATTTACGTAGATTCCATCGATAAGTTGTTCTGTAGTGGCCGTCTGTCCCGCCAACTGGTTAACATTCCGACTATAGGAGGATACTATCAGGCTAACGGCGGAGGCCACGCCCAGCAGGTAGCAGCTACAGCTTCCCGAAAGAAACAGTGCCCGACTTCCCTTGGCGCTGATCGTGTGCAGGAAACTATAGCCGGCCACGAAGGTCATGCTGTGCCCAACGTACGATATATAGGCTCCGACATGGTCTATAATGGAAAAATAATTACTCCAAGGTTATTATTACTATTATGATGATGTATACATATGTACATAAATGAATATTTGAATGTTTAATCTATTAAACGAAAAAGCCGACATTCTCCTATTTCTTTGAATACTTTTCTACGCATTTTTTTGTGATTTACAAAACTGTTAAGATTTTAAATCAGAAAGGACTTACTTTAAGTTAAAAGCAATACATTAGGCTCAAATTAATTCAAAACTCATTACTCAAAGTAACAAAATCTTCCTGAAAATCAACAAACTTATTAAAAGAGCTCTTTGATGTCTAACTTCATAACCTTGATAGAGAGCTTCATATACAAACTTTATCGATTTACGAAATGCATTTGAGTGAGAATTTGCATGAGTACACAAATCATATTAATGACTCACCATAACCATCGGCAAAGTAGAAGCAGCTGCCTATCAGATTAAAGACTCCGGCTGCCAGGAGCAGCCACGGTTGCCAATAGACGATGCATTTCTTCACAAGCTTAACAACCAGCATGGCCAGGGCAGTAACTACAGCCCAACAGGCTCCCAGAATCAATGGTCCATAATAGGTAAGACCAGTGCTTACATTCCGTTCAGCAACAAAGGCACAGATCGTATAGCCAAAGATCAGGCCACAGGGCAGGAAGCTCAAGCAGACTGGAAAAGTATAAGTTGTAGTTTCGAAAATTCACTGGAAAAACTCTCCTATATAGCGATGACTCACCCACATAGCTGGGCGCATATTTGAAGAACTTCAGCACAACTTTGCCCCATACATTCGTCATATTTCAGGTGAAGATTAGTGTCCAGCGGCAGAGAGGTTAACTAATCAAAAGAGCTTAGAGCATTTTAGCAAGCCGCTGAATTGGAGATGCCCACGATGAGCAGCGGCGAGACACAAATGGGCCAGTAAAAGTCCAGCGGAGAAGTCGACTGCGACAAAGGCGGCCAAGATAAGGCGATAAGATAAACCCGAACAGGTGCCTATGTGTGACCATGGTTACACCGAGGGAAAAGCTTAATCCTAAGCTTTATATATGATTTCGATTTAAACTTTATAGTTAGCTTAATTAACTGATTTTACACTAAGAATTACAAATGGGTGTTATAAGATTTAAAAAATTGAATAAAAATTATTATTTCAGAAACAGTCTTTTTATATTGATCTCTCAGAATCAGAAACTGTATACCATTTACTGTGTTTTATAGAAATCGTAACTAGATTTTTGCAAGTGTATCCCCATGTGAGTGACTAATGCCGCAATAGAGTAAGCCACTTGGACAGATAAACAGATGTCCGGCTGATAAGTCTCTCGGGAGTTGGCTTAAGTGAGGGTGCCTAGTATTTACTATACTCCAAGGAAACGTACATATATATTCTACTATCCACTTGCATACATAATCCAACATAGTTAAGGCCATTGGCCATATTCATACGATTGGGGCTTAAAACTAATTTGGAGTGGCTAATGGTGATAGGAAATTCAGGCAATCGAACGTCCGGCGATAAGCTTGGGAAATTGATTTCAATTGAATATTATATGCCAGAAGGTATTTTATCAGGCATAAATGAGTTTTTTTTTTTGAGGGGGGTGTGGGGAAAGGTGGGTGGCTGGGTGTTTAAAGTGGGCGGGGGTAAGTTCTTGGTTAGTTTGTTTACCTTTGAGCAGACAATTGATTGCAGCCGAGAGCGAAAATCAGAGAAAGAGAGAGAGTTGGGGCGAAAAGTGAATGAGAAAATAAAAGGCTGCGAAGAGAATGCATGGATGATTAAATTTTAAGATGGCATTCTTAGTCACCACTTTCTTAATTATTAACTTAAAAACTACTGACTTAAAATTTAAAAAATAAAGATAAAAATAAGTACAGAATTGTTAAAGAAGATTTTTAGGTATTTTTCGTGGAGCCTTTTAGAGATACTACAGAAATCATAAGAGTTTCCATATGCCTGAAATAGTTATGAAAAATCATCATTTAGATTGACTAAATTGTCTTTCTGGTGTAAAATACTGTGCTTCCTACTTTTTGCCACCTCTATAGGTGATTTTAAATTTCTTGCAATTTCTATGCCATCAGGAAGAGTAATTTTCCGACATCGTAGAACTTGCCAAACTTGCGAGAGCGTATGAAACGCTCAATTGCATAAGCGTCCTGGGAGAGGATGTGGCCAATGCGCCTGTGCACTACCCAGGCGTAACCGTAACATAGCTCCCCCGAGCTCCCGTACATAAAATCATACACCCGAACCGGCGGCCCAAGTCGCGCTTATCCGCTGGCAGGGCACCCCAAATGTCTTGGCCCGGCCTTATCCCCGGCTTTCACTTCCGGAACCTCGGCTGCGACGACAGCTACAACAGAGCTACAGGCCGCACTCGTAACGCCAGGCGGCATATCAAACACCACCAATACCACCAGCACAAAAAACTCCACCTCTCCTTCTCTACGCGTTGGCGGTAGCCGCCAGCCGCTGCTGCGATTGCAAACCAGAAACAGAATCAGGATGCTGCAGTCAGTGCTCCGGGGTAACTGACTGGCAATGGAATTCAACGGAGCGCTCGGTGCTGAGTATAATACCAGATGCGAAATACAGGAGCCACAAGGAGCTATTTACACCTAGCCAGCCATGATTGTGATGAGCATCTGGTGCAGCAGCCTCAGCCTAAGTAGCCGCAGCCTGGCCATAGCTTTGGTGGTCTGTGTGACTCTGGTCTACTTCTCCTATAGCTTCAACGCCTGCCTTTTGGCCAGCATTAGTCGCAGTTTGCAGCAGGTAAATATGTCCATAAATCGACAGAAAATGTTACCCCAATTAGGAGGGTAGAAGAGAGTTCTATCTTATATTCGTTTTTATCCAAGAACAGAAATGTAAAATATAAAGAAATTTTTCATATCTTAAAGTTTAAATTTATAAAGTATGAATTAGCAATCAAATTAAAATCAGGAATCTCAACGTTTTTAAAACAATTTAAACTGTGTCTAAAAGTATGCTGTGAAAAACAAAACGTTCTCTTTTGGCATTTATCCAGCTGACTTTTGGATTATGAAAACAATGTTGTTCCTACACTCTTAATTCACCTCAAAGGGTATTGCAAAGTCGTTACATTCGACTTTATTTACTTGTGAATTTATAATCGAATGTCGATGTGTTATCCTTTTATGTGTGGCATTGACCTCTGACCTCTCCCGCGCAGAGCAACTTACGCAATCTACTGGCACTCACCTCCTCGGACCGCAACGAGAGCAGTGATGCGGGTAACAGTAGCACTAATAGCAGTAACTCCTCCACTACCAGTACTCCTCCGGCTCAGACTGTGACCAGTAGTTTGGATGGAGCGCCCAAGTATCAGCTGCTACGGCAGCAGGGCCTGCGACCATCACGCCACTTGCCCGACACGCTCATCATTGGCGTGAAGAAGAGTGGGACACGGGCGCTGCTCGAGTTCATCCGCCTGCATCCAGACGTTCGGGCCGCTGGATCCGAAGTGCATTTCTTTGACAGGCACTACCAGCGAGGCCTGCGATGGTATCGTCATCATATGCCCTATACCATCGAGGGTCAGATCACCATGGAAAAGACTCCCAGTTATTTCGTCACCAAGGAGGTGCCGCAGCGTGTCTACCACATGAATCCGGCCACAAAGTGAGTTTTCCTTTTCCTTTTTCATATGAAAATCATCATATCTTCAAAAATGTTCTATTCAGATTACTGATTGTGGTCCGGGATCCGGTGACGCGAGCCATCTCCGACTACACGCAGGCGGCGAGCAAGAAAGCGGACATGAAGCGCTTCGAGCAGTTGGCCTTCATCAATGGCAGCTACTCCGTGGTGGACACCAACTGGGGACCGGTGAAGATCGGTGTCTATGCCCGTTTCCTGGAACGCTGGCTACTGTACTTTCCGCTTTCGCAGCTGCTATTTATCAGCGGGGAGCGACTGATTATGGATCCCGCCTATGAGATTGGACGAGTCCAGGATTTTCTTGGACTGAAACGTGTGGTCACGGAGAAGCATTTCTACTTCAATGCCACCAAGGGCTTTCCCTGCCTCTTCAAGTCGGAGGCTAGGTCCACGCCCCATTGTCTGGGTAAGACCAAGGGTCGCAATCATCCGCACATAGATCCTGGAGCAATCGAGAGGCTGCGGGAGTTCTACAGACCCTTTAACAACAAGTTCTACCAGCTGACAGGCATCAACTTTGCCTGGCCATAGGATCTAAAGGCTGGGTGAGTAGATGAAAGGAAACCTAAAATATTGCGATGGAATTATCAAGCAAATGAGAGGCATAATTAGTAAGCTTAAACTAACTAACTAACTATCTTTAGTAAACCTAATATTTGTATATATTTCTTCTTTCAGCATATGTGAACTTAATGGAGTTAGAAAAATAATGAGATATTGTTGTTGCTGGCCAGGCAACGGACTGATATTGTTGATTGCATTTTTGATACATATAATTGTACTTACATATATATATATACATATATAGTATATACACATGTAAAATTAGTGCTCAATTAATTGTAGCTTTATCAGGAGACAAATTCAACGAAGTGCGCTCTTTACAAAGTCCGCACTCAAACAATTACGGTTCCTCACTCCAAAAAAAACTCGAAAAATCAACTCACTTTTCCCCCTTCCCCCACTATATTGTACTCGAAAATCATACAGTACGATGGGAAATTAAATTTTCCTACCCACTGTATGTGTTTGTGCACACACTTAATGCTATATACTACCACATATACCTAAGATAATTATGTGCATTTATATACAAATAGTGAACAAATAGAGCTTACTACGAAATTCCTACAGTCTCCTATAAAAGTATATATATACAATATAATATAAATAGTTCCAAGAATTTCAATTGCATGACTCAACCAATACAATTGCTTAGCTAATTTCAATTAAAAACACAACCTAAATAAATCGACTTTAACTAAAACTTGCGAGCTGAACTTATATTAATTATGGATAGCAAAGGTTTATCAGGCTTCCTCCCAAAACGTATATTAAATCGATCTTTAAAGGTTCTTTTTTTTTAATTTATTGATTTCCTTTTGGTTTTTTTTTTTTTTGTTTTTTAATTTGTTGTGAACAATTCACGTTATTCGCTTTTCTTGCTTTTGTTTTCAACGTTAATGATAATTTCTTGGTTTAGGGTTCTAGTGGTCTTAATTTGCCACTTGTTCTCATTTTTTGTTTTTGTTTTTAAGTACAATTGATTAAATAAATTGCGGTGGTTTGTGGTTGTTTCTTGTTGCTTTAAGGTAATTCATCCAATTTGCTTTTATACAATATGTGTTGTTGTTGTTGGTAGTTATTTATATTAGAAAATTATATATTATTTTTTGGGATTTTTTGTTGTTGTTGGTTGTTTGTTGGTTTTTTTCATTAAAAATAACTATGCATAAATGGTGATCGTAAAATTAATTATAACTTTAGTCTTAAAAAACTAGGCGAAAATAACTTAATGCCTATAGTGGGGTTGTCCTAAAAACTAGGTAGCTATATGTTCTTTGATTTGATATATATTACATTCATCCGATTGGTTTCGGTTTAGGAAGGCGGGCGGGCGGTAAATGAGATGTGTGTGTAGTGGGCAGTGCATCATCGTACTTTAGTTGATCTTCGCCGAGTGTGTCTAGGATTTGGCGCCAGCTAGCAACTCCTGCACCCCCAGATGCTCTTCTCGCTATCGCCCCCTCATCAAGAACCGCTTCTGATTTCGAGCTCTGCAAACGCTTCTCACAATAGAGACTGCCCACGGGTTTGGCCATCGAAGCCGATAAGCTTTTGGTTACCGTGGAATAATGTAGAGCCGTTGAAGAGTCATTGCTGCCGCCGACAGGTGACACTGCCTGATCTGCGCTCACCTGACGCTTTAGTATGGGCACAGCCTGTGTTGGTGAGCTTTTGGTCGCTGGCGTCGGTGTTGCCTGGCTGCGATCCTTGATGGGAAACTTGTTTTTAGTGCAGCTTAAATCCAGTTCGAGAGTATAAAAGCGGCCGCGAGTGAACTGCCGGTTCTCGTTTCTTAGACTTGTACTAGCCTCATCGGTTCCACTCGCCCCACCAGCGGAAGTTGAAGTTCCCACACCAACTCCGGCACCTGGTGGATGCTGACTTATTGTACAAATACTACTGCGATTGCTATTTCCGGTGGGCAGGGCTGTGTGGGCAGTGGTCACCGAGCTGGCCTGAGTTCCTGCTCCACTGCCGTCGCACACATCCTCTCCAGGATCATCATCACCATCCGTACTGGACAACGAACTTTCCGTGTCGTCAATGTGTAGCTGATTTCGGGGCTTTGTCTTTAGTTGGACATTGGCAGGCTGAGCTGCTGGCGATGCCTTGTTTATCCGTGGTGACTGATCCATCAGTAGGTTCTCCCAACTTGTCTCATATACGCTAGCCAATTGAGCCGTCGGCTTGGGCTTGAGAATCATTTGTTTAAACATGGGCTGAGAGGGTGGCGTGGCGTCTGCTTTCTCCTCGGCGGGAAATTTTCGTGCCCCAATTATTAACTGCGGCTCCACATAGAACGAGTCGAAATTGAGGTCCAGAAAGAGCTCTTGCAAGAAACGGCGGGCAATCATACGATAGCTGCTTCTTCCCAACGTTTTGCAGGACTCCGAGTAAAGGCAAATATCCTAAAAATAAAAGGAAGTAAGTTTAAAATATATTTTTTTTTTTCATTTTAAAATATGTTCTTACCTGAAAGGCGTGCGGGTGCTTCTGTTTAAGCTCCAACAGAGCCATTTTCGATTGCTTGGCACTGACGGGATTGGCCAAACGCTGCACGTTGTACAGTATAGAAGCCGTAAGCCTGTCCGGCAGGCTATCCTCGCTCAACATGCTCTCCGGCGAATGAAAGCTAATGTCCGCGCCAAGGGCTGTGGAAGCTCCTGGCGCGGACGAACCGCTCTTTTTGGCCAAAGCTGGTCCAGCCTGAAGTCCGGCAGCCACTAGAGCCGCAGCTGCACTACTGTACAGTTCGCAGGGAGCAAGAGATGCACCTCCACCTCCATTACTCTGGCTGTTACTGTCATGACGCTGCTGTCGTGGGGAGCGAGCACAATGAAGACACTGACTGCGCGCGTGTTTGGCGGCTCCCTGTTGCCATTGTCTTGGTTGTCGGCGACTTGCGGATGAAACATCCGACAACGATGATATAACCGACGACTCATCACCACCCTCGTTGGTCAAGGAGTCGTTAAGGAACTGCTGACGTCCCATGCTGCTTAGCAAATTAATGCCCACTAGATCTTGGTCCTGGATATCTCGCGAGACATACGTTCTGCTGAGGTTTCGGGTCGGAAAGAGGTCTAGAACGTTCTTAGGCAAGCAGATTCCCGCATAGCACGGTCCCTGTAGATCGTTTTGCGGTAGGAACTTGGGAGCGTTCAGAGTGGGTAACAAAACGGTCAACTCCTCGGAAAGCCGCCTGCAAAGGGTAATTCGATCGATAAGTAAATAAATAAAACAGATTTACTGGATTACTTTAAAGACTAACTTACCTATATAATTCATTCAACTTGGGTTGGCGGTCCAAACTGCGCACCTTGAGGCGACGATTGGATTGGGTCCAGTCGGGCTTACGCATCCGAACCTCGGGAGTATCTATAATATCCGCGAAGTCGTAGAACTCTGTTGACGACTCAGAGAATACGGGTCGGCTGTGCTGGCGCAAGGATCGCAACTGAGCGTAGCCCTTCATTGACATCGGACTGAGTGTGGAGGGCAGCAGACTGGTGGACAATTGCTGTCGTCGAAATAGCTCATAGCTCTCTAACAGATTGGACATGCTTGGAATAGGACTCAGCGGGAATTGTTGAAATTCCATGGCCACAGCGGCAGCAGCAGCTGCAGTTCGTCCGGTCACAGATTCACAGCTGCTTACACCGGATGTATTTGAATCTGTGCAGGAGTTATACCGTATGCGATGCTGATACGGTGTGGGATAGAGACCCGTTCCGGGCATTGTAGTGGTTCCTCCACCAAGCAAACTTATCACATCTGTAGTCTTCGATTCAGAAAGTGAGCGCTGATGCTTGCCTTGGCGCAGATTGCTACCCTCTGGAAGAGTCTTTGATTTGGCGGCAACAGCGCTGGGCAACAATCTGGGATGCACATCATCTGTTGCAGTGCGAACGCTATCCGTAGTCGTTGCCGTTGTATTGGGATCCTGGACTGTAGGATGAATACCCATGGTAGCTCCGGATACTGTCACTCCTGCATTGCCACTTGCATCAGTCTGATCGGCTATCAGATTCCAATAGTAGGATCCTGTGTCGTAGAATCTCTCGATATAATCCTCCATCATAGTCACATTGTCCTCGTAGTAATGTCGCACAGGTGTATACTGGCTAGACATCCAATCTTCCGGCTGATGTACTGGCCACATGGTGTTTTTGTCATGCCGCACACTCAGCCAATCTAAAATAGAGTTTTCATATTAGACTTATAAATAAAAATAAACAATAATAAACTTACTCAATTTAAAAAGTATATTGGCTCCTGCTTGGGTTCCAGCGATAAGTCCTAAGGCACTAAAACAGGTGGCTCGCACCGAATAGACCTCACATTTGGTCACCAGAACAATTAGCTTTTCATAAAGTCTAAATATAACAAAGAATTTATTAAAGTATTTCGAAAAGTATTTAACTTTCTTACCTGTCATTCAGTTCTACAAAGTATTCAATTCCATTGGCATGGGTTGAGGCGTGGGCCAGTGCCCAAATGGCCGCCTTCAGTTCCAGGCACTCGGCATCATCCGAGCATTTAGCGCGCGTGAGCAGCTCCAGTAGCTGCGGCAGGTCTCCATGCTTTCTCAGTGCTGTCATTCCTTGGCCAGTCTGCGCCATCTGGCCATAGAGATGTGGAGCAATATTTGGAGGAACAGTCTGTGGTCGCTGATTGCAATTACGACGCGAATAGTAACCATCCTCGTTCCGGATGTGCAATGTTAGACTGGAGTGGGTATCAGCTTCAACGAGTAACACATATCGCTTATTGTAGCCATTCCGCCAGTACCGAATCTCCTCTTCAATCCGTGCCATCGTACTGTTCAGACCGCGAGGCAGTGAGTAATATCGTGCCATCAGAAGACGTCCTGCGTCGCCCCGCTGCGTAAGATTAGGCCACTTGCTGACAATTTCCTCCAAATAGTACTTATCGTGGCAAGCCTCCTCTAGTACATCCATTGCTGCCAGAACCACGCTTCGGTCTGCATCTCGCGTCTGATTGATAATCAACGGAATGCCCCATACCTCAAAGTGGGGTAGTCTGGCACGCAGCAGCACAGCCATGAACTGAGTGGCATATAGGCGTCCGCTTCGTGTCTTTGCCATCGTTAGCGCCTTTTCCAGCACCTGACGCGGTGCCTTTTCATAGCTGTAGTTCAAGCCGGACACAATCAGCTTCACATAGCAGACATGGTCAGTCAATCGCACCAGGTTGATTAAACTGAAAACAAGGGGGTTTCTTGATTGGTTTTTCTCTTGATTGACTCGATTAACTTGCTCAGTTAGCTGGTTAGTTTTTATTAGTTAAGAAACTGTCTTTAAATTATTTATGAAATTGTACTTACTACTCAAATACGGTGGTGTTTTTGAGTACTTCGATGCCCTTAACAGTTCGGCACATCCGTCCGATGTATAGGAAATACTGTTGACACATTGTGTTGTTCATGTGCTGTGGACTAAATAGACAGTCGTGGGCACGATTCGATGTGGTAACAGCTGCCAGTTGCTGACTGATATCCGAAAAGTAGTCGGTTATGTATCGCATGCACTCCAGCTATAAGTACAATAAGATTAGAAGTGAATCAATCTTATGCTAGTTACTTTGACTACCCACCTCGCTGCTGCCCAAGAGAACATCGATCAAATCCAATCCCGCACTGACATAAGTGGGTAGGCTCTGCCCAGGTACCAAATCCTGGTGCGAAAACCGATTGTTGCGAGGCTTGTAGAAGTCTACGAGACGCTTGAGGAACTTGCCCAGAGTATAATCCAGTTTGCGGATTAAATTCGACTGCAAGAGAAAACATATTAATATAATTAAAATCCAATATTCCAACCTAACTATAACTTACCTTAAGTATTGTGGTGATAACATCCCAGTCCCAGAGATGGGCATCCGCTTGGCTAAGGACCCGAGAATCGGTAAGCAGCCTATTGAAGGCTCGAAAGTTATCAAAAAACGAATGGGGAAGTAACTTTCGTTTCAGTCGAAAACTGGACCTCGATGAAGTCGAAGACTGTGAGTTGGACTCGTCGCTAGAGGAGACCGAATCCAGCCGGTAGCGATCGAGCAAGGTCCGAAATTGACCGGCAGGCGGCACTGCAGTGGCAGCCGCTTCAGCTGTATCCTGCAGCTGTAGCACGGGACCCGCCTGCTCCTGCACGTTAAGGTGCCGGCGAAACAGTCGCGTCTGGATGAGAGCACCGCCTTGGATAATGCTGTCTAGGAACAGACTACACGACGCCGGTCGCTGACGCAGCATCTTTTGGTAGTTTTGTAAAGCTGCCACCGCCGCATTGGCCTGCTGATTTCCATGTGTGGCATGACCAACTAAAGTAGGTAATGCCGGACTCGTGCAACAAATGTCCGGTGGCAGATGCGTGTGCATAAGTTGCAGGATTTTGCCAATTAACACCGTAGCCTGTACGGAGACAAACTGATCGCTGCCCACAGCAACTTCAACGAGCGCATTGAGCAGTCCAGTCTCAAGGAAACAGTAGAGCATCAGCGACAGATGTTGCTCCACCACGCTAGGAGCACGTGCTGCCAGCGATGGCAAAATTGATCGCCCTTCGGCGGATACGAAACCATTGCTTAGCAGCCAAGTGGCCTGGAAATCCGATGGATCCACAGCCTGCAGCGCCACCGCATAGTCATCAGTCCAGGTGGGCTGCGGCAGCGAAAGCAGCTCGTACAGCAAATCCAATATTGCTTTCTATTCAAATTTAATATTATTTTAATTAAAGATTTGCTATAGGATATAGGATTTACTTACTCTAACTTCGACCTGATTTAAATAAAGAGCGTCGACTATTGCTTTCAGGCCTGAGGGTTTACTAGGATCACAGAATTCGAGGGTGCCCGTCCAGCTACGCAGCACGGACAATAGTGCCAAGCGACAACTTGTATAGCGAAGTTCACGGGCATCTCTGCAAGATAAAATAATTAATAAAATAATAAAAATAGTTTGTCTTTTAAAGCTGACTCAGAATATTTATCACTGATATGGCATTGATAAGGAATTACATATGTGGCCTTCGAAAACCCATATTATTTTCTTTGATTATCATTATGTCATTATCATATTATAAGTCTAGTGTAAACACAGCCAAATGTTTTCAACCATAAGATCAATTTTTTGTTTACTTTCGGTAAATCAATGAGTGAAATTGATACGAAAACGTCTGGCTTTTAAAACTGAATCAGCATTCGCGGAAATTATGTTGATGTAGACGTTTCTTCAGTGTTTATTTACTTGTCAGCATTTTCAATCACAGATTGCGACCATTGAACTTTCCTTACCCCTTTTTTTATGAATTCCCAAAATTTTCATAAGACTACTCACTTGTTTTTATCCTGGATGCCTTGCCTATAGGTAAAATCGCAGTATGGAGCCGCCAAACAATCTAGCCGCACTCCGCAGATATTTCTCGTCTGTGGCCACTCAAGCAGGTACAGGAGCACGCCACATAGACTTTCGGCTATCCGGGGATTGTGACATTCCAGCACATTACGAGTGATGGACGTAACGCCACCACAAACGATGAGCAGCGCTGGATTGAGCACTGCAAACTCCGCTAAAGTGGCCAAACAGGCACGTAGCAGGTTGTCGTTCTCCTCGATCCCGCTATCGGCCAGTGAGACGAGGCAACGCACCACCGCCGGACTGATATCCTCCGGCGCAATGGCCAGCATTTTGCGCACCAGCTTTAACGCCTGGACACGCTCATCGTCGTTCTTCAGCATCAGATCGATGGAGCGACACAGCAGATGCTGCAGCTGTAGGGCATTGAACGCCTTAATATCCTTGGGTGTGTTAATGGCATAGCGGATCGTTCTCAGCGCCGCCGCCCGCACTTGGGTAAAGGTATGCACCAGTGAGGCACTCAGGCTGTTAGGAAAGAAATGGGAAATCATCAGCTAGGGGCTACATTTGTTACATCGGAGAACTTACCAGTAGAGCAGCTCCTCGGTGGTGAAGTGTATGTTGCTGTGATGGGAGCCCTTTCGGGCCCCCAAACAGAGCGAGGCCAGCGCGTTGAGCAGGAACAGGCGTTTGGTATCTCGTGTCTCCTCCAGGCAGAGCATGGAGTATATATCGAAGGCATTTTCGGCGGCCGAACGTTGCAGATCCAGGCGATAAAAATCCTCAGGATCTTGCGAAACTGAAAAGGTAAAAGTTAAGGGGTTAAAATTTAGTTTATAACTACTTTCGTACTTCTAACTATAATTCTAGATCATATCAAATAAAATAAAATCAATTTACAATTTTTTTAAAGGATTAAATAGGTTTTAGTAAAAGTGGATTACAATATGACAAGGGATTCTCCCCATAAACATTGACGTAAAGTGCACACAGTAAGTTGCATTAGAAAGCGATCAAAGTGAAATTGATCGTGGAAAGCTAATCAGCTCTGCCGCTGCCTCAGTTGCAGTCGCTGCCGCTGTCGACGCAGGCTGAGCACGTGAAATGACAACAACGGCGTCATAACAGTTTCGTTGTGGTTGTTGTTATTGTCGTCGTCGTCGTCGTTACAGCTAACTGTACTTGTATGATGGATTTGGTTGGAAAGATAGAGAGGAGAAAGGAGAGAGAGAAAATGGGAGAGGGTAAAGAGAGCTCGGAAGAATGAAAGAGTGAAGGACACGATGAATGAAAGAAACTGAGCATTTGGTATGTTATTGTTGTTTTATTTTGTTGTTGTCGATGTTTTGTGAATGTTTATGTTGTTGCTATTGCTATTATTATTATTATTGTTGTTGCTTGTGCTGCGTCATCGTTTTTTGGGGGCTCTCTATGCTGGCGACCGTTCTATAAATAGTCGGCCAACATGTAGCCGAAGAATTTGGTCAAATGGCAGCATCAACAGCAACAACAACAATAACACGTCAAAAGAAACCAAAATAAAAATACGAAATACATAAATAAAACAAAAACAACAACAACAACAACAACAGCACAAAAAGTAAATATACACCACTTGTGTATAAATAACGGGATCGGTAAAAATGCTGATCAGAATGCCATGCTGTCGATACATCCGTACATCACTCTTTCTACATCGTTACCGTTATGCGCAGTGCTGCCAGCGTGTTTCGTTCTTGTTATTGCTGCTTCTGCTGTAACTATTGCATTTGACATCAATGTCAACAAATGCGATGCAACCAATTATTGAATAAGTCAAATGAAGCGAGAGAGGGATAGGATAGATTTAGTGCGGGGGGGTCAAACGGTAACAATAACGGTTCAAGATCCACACCAACAACAACAGCAACAGCTGCTGTGGTCGCCGTAATGCAAAATACTGCAATGTTATTTAGGGGGAAAATCAAAGAAAAAAACAGTGGTTGCGCCATTATGCTGATGCCATGTTGATGTCAATTAACACATTCGTTACATTACCTTTAATGCGTAATTGTAATTTGCTCCGCTTGCCATAACGCCAACTGGAATGTAGGGAGGCCATCGCTGTGCTTCGCCTCTTCTTTTTTTTTTGTGTTGTTTTATTTGGGCGAAAGGAGGCGTGGCGGGGGCGGCATAGGCGGCGTCGCCCGCTCCCCTATTAAACTTATGTGTCCGGACACGCACACAACACACGGATCACACTTAAATATATTGCTTTTCAATTTCACTTGCTGCACAATTTACATTTTTTTTATTGGGCTGCTCGCCGCTTCAGTGTGACCGTCGTCGGGGCAGGTTTTAATACCAACTGAAGCATTTGGGCCACTATTAATATTAGCCAGAAAAAGAAATGCGAGTATATAACGACTTTTAAATAATTACATACTATTTCACATGAAAAATAAATTAAAACTCTTATGAATGTTATTTAATTTTATATGATCATTTTTGTGATAACTTAAACTGTTTTCGGCTAATACAAATTTTAAATAAGTCATTCATTACATTTCTATAATGCGCATATTTCAACCGTTCAGCATTCATGTAGAACATTGTATACAGAAGTGTACAGAATATAAATATTTATATATGTAAATTAATGAAATTTAATTTAAAAGTATGAGCTTTCTGTTAAGCCAGAATATCCTCCTACTGTTACGTCCAGAAAAAAGGTAAATATGACGGGAAATCCAAAATATGCCAGCACTGATTTTGACATGTAGTATATTTCAATCGCTTTGGTATGTTTGAACAAACCGCGAACGGTCACAACGGCTAAATACACTGATATCGGAAGTCGAGTCTCCCTCTTCCTCTTCGATAAACCCAATATTTTGCAATAAAAGAAATTAGTGTTTAAAAGTAAACCTAGCTAACACTAATCAAAAAAAAAAAAAATCAAGGCGTTCGTTTGTAACGGTGCAAACGTAAAGTGTTACGCGGACGTTATAATTCGGTCGCACCCATTGATTGTTGTCGTCGCTGTCGCTGTTGTTGTGCTGGTGTTGTTGTGTTTTCAAGTTCCGTTCTGTGTATCTGTGTTCAGTTCACCAATCCAATCGCAAACGGCCAACTGATGAGTCTCAATTGTTTTCATTAACGCAACGAGAGTCGCAAGGCCCCTCCCTCCCCCTACCTACTGGCCTACCCCCAAATCCTTCCTCATCACCTTCGCGCCCCCGTTGTGCCTCGCACCGCCCCGCCCAGTTTCCAGTTTAGACCGCTGCAAACGCCCTATTTTTTACCCTCCTCACACCAACTACAATGGCCAGCAACAGTTTTGGAGGCGTGGCAGGCGTTAATGGGGATCTATGGCGCGAATGCGTTGCCTGGCTAACCAGGTGCAAGGTCATCCCACCCGATCACAAGGCCGCCCAGGCCGATGCTGAAATCAGAATCCTAGCTATGACGCTGCGCGACGGTGTGCTACTGTGCAACCTGGTCATCCACCTGGATCCAAGCAGCATGGATCCGCGGGAGTTCAATCGCAAGCCACAAATGGCACAGGTAATCCTATATAATTTAGAAAGTAATATTAAATCTACTTACAATGTACTTTAAATAAAGATAAACTATCTTAAATGCTAAATTTGTATATTAGCTCTGTTTTAACATTCGTATGCCTGTTACACGGTAAAAGATATTTTTTTTAAATATTATTATATAACAATATAATGTAAAAAATGTAAAACGATAACGATTAATATTAATATATATATTATTCTAAATAAATAGATATATAGATTTTATTAGCATTAGATAGAGCTGTTATCTGGGTAGAAAATATTAATAAAAACCGATTCTCTTTTTCTTTTTAATTTTCTATGATTACTCTATTTTGACAATAGAAATATATTTTCTGTTTGAAATTTTTCAAAAACAAAGATTTTTCAAATTAAAGATTGAATTTCTTAAACCTTTTATGTTGATTTATATTATCTGTAATGAAAGATGTTCGAGCACTTAGTTTGTAGCAAACAAAATAGAATTAAACATTTCTAAGTTCTGTTATTGTAACTTGCAACTTCCAAAATTCCTTATATTAATCTTTATTCCTTACCATTTGCAGTTCCTGTGCAGCAAGAACATAAAGCTGTTCTTGGACGTTTGCCACAATAATTTTGGTATTCGGGACGCTGATCTCTTCGAGCCCACGATGCTATACGATCTGACGAACTTCCACCGTGTCCTCATCACACTCTCCAAGCTATCACAGTGCCGAAAGGTGCAGCAATTGCATCCGGATCTTATGTAAATATTCCAAAACTTAGGCGTAAGAACATTATCGCCAGTTGCAATATGTGGGTTTCGACCAGAAGGGGTTTTAAATTAAAAGGGTCTATTGACTCCTTTCGTAGAGATTGGTTTGTTTTGGTCTCAGTATTCAGATTTGTATAAGATTCAAGCAGATCTAAGCAACTGGTGGTTAAGGAAAGTCAGATTATTCCAGCAGAAAACTCAAAAAATATAATTTAAATCAGAAAGAAAAGCTGATTAAAATAGCAAGAAATTTAATAAAATAATACTGACTCATGTACATTTTCGAAATACCTGCACGGAATGTTGAAATTTCTTCAAGGCACAACGATTTTCAAAAATAACAACAAATTAATCATTTCATTCAGTTTACAAACGCATTTGGATTTCAGTGAGCCTAATCGGAATTTTTACAAAGATGCATTGTTTCGACACGTAATAAGCATTATTAATGAATTAAAAAATTGAAAATAAATTAATATATATTAATTAAGATTATCTTCCTAAACATTACCAACTAATAGATTTGTTAACCCCTTTTCAGTGGCTTCAACCTGCAGCTATCGCCCAGCGAACGTTCCCATTCGGACGAGGATATCTACAAGGATCTGCATTCCACGTGAGTAGTCAATTGTGGTCGGGGAATCTCTTATGTCCATACTGTCCTATATTAACCATGGTGCGTGTTCTCCCGCTTGATCCGCTGTCATTGAGCAAAACGAGATGTGCCTGCATTTCCTGCTCCAGCATTTGCAAAACACACCATGTCCCATGTCCCATGTCCCATGTCACCCCCTGTCCCACTCGATCCAAACCAATGTGACCCGAACCGATCTCATTATGCGCTCACATTTATACTTCCCGGGCCCAAGTCTATAAGCCCTTGTCTGGCTGCTTATCGAGCACATAGGAAAAAATATACCTAAAAGCAAAAATTCTATCTTTAAAAAGAAACTTTTCTGGCATTTAAAAATCTTTTAAAATTGTGATAAAATCTTAAAAAGAAAACTGTATTGTCGAAAGTAAAAAAATGTTTTTAAAAGTTAAAAACTTTGTAACTTGGTTAAAAAACTATCTAAAACTGTGGTTTTATAATAATATTAAAAATATATTTTTTAAAGTCCACCTTTTAAGCACCATTTAAAGTGATTTTTAATCACCAAAATGTTTTAAATTTCGAAAAAAAAAAATAAGAATTAATATAAATTAACGATATATATTCTTTGATATCCCGATAACTATCATTATTTTTCTCCGTGCAAGACGAAGAAGTAGTTGACCCAAGCAAAATCTCTGTGTCCAGCTTTATCTAACACACACTCTTTCTTTCTCTCTGTCTCCTATCTCTGTCTAACACACTAACTTTATATGACTATATATATATTCGATGTGTGCGTGTTTGAATGTGCGTGCGTGTGTGTTGCTTTATCGTTCGGCTAAATGCATTGGGGATTCCCCTTCAGCGATCTAAACATGCGAAAGGCCAGCAGCATCGATGCTTCCGCCTCTTCGTCAGCGGAATACTACGATAGAACCTCGCAAAGCGGGTCGCTGGACGAGAACAGCGACATCACCATCGAAAATGGAACCGAGGACATAGATGACTACATCGAGGATTCGCTGTCCAATATGTGCGATTCGACAATCGATAACGATTTGGATGATGCGGGTGTGGAAACTCCCCTGCTAACCGATTGTCAGGGCAGCAATTTGCGTGCCCTCTCCTTTGATCTCACCCTGGATGTGGTTAGCTCAACAATGGACAATGCCTCCAATGCTGTTACACCCACACCAGAATCATATGCCCGGCAATCGGAATCACCATTGATTGCCATAGCACCAAGTATCCCGTCTGTTGCTGCAGAACCACCAATGGGTCGTCTGGTGTCCACCTCTTCCTCTTCGTCATCACTTTTGGTTAGCGAAAGCCAGCGATTGCAGAAGGCAGCCGCTGCTGTCTACAATTATCGATCCTCTATGGCGTCCACGGAGCATGAATATGCCTACATCTACAGCGAGGACGATGAGAAGGTCTACGAGGACCTGTGCTATGTCACCTTCCAGGCGAAAGCCAAACCCGAGGTGTGCTGTCCAACATATTAACTGTCTATGTGTCCATGCGGGGTGGGATCGAGCTAAGAGTTAAAACCGTAGGAACAGAATGTAATCTGATATCTAATATGATAATCCTAGTAACTTAACTCTCTTTTAAGATTACCTTCTTTTCCTAAGATTTTGTCCAAGAAATCAGCCCACCCCAGTGTATCGTCATGTGTAAAAGCCTCTTCTTCCCCTTACCCACTTCTTCCTTCTGTTCCTGATCCTTGATCCTTCTACGAATGCTTGATACCCTTAGATTATCCTCCATGTAGGCTTAAGATATCGTCCCTTGCACAATAATCACTGCTTGTCTTGCTTGCCGCTTGTGCTTCGTCACCTACTGTGCTCCCATCACTCTAACGCCACAAAACTAACCAAAAACCACTAACCCGGACGCGCACCACCATCAACAAGACCCACATCCTTCGTGATTAGAGACATCATATCACAGAGATAGATACATTCCTCCCCATTCTACTTCTAAGGCTGACGTTTTCTTGAAGGCCGTTCCAATATAGGATTGCAACGGTGGGTTATCGACCCTCACAGTTGACACCAATCCAAGGCCACGCCAAACATAGCCACCGGAAGTACTTCCCAACTGTCTCTTTACTTATTTACATAACTACTGTATACTTTCTGAGCATTGCGAAAAGTGGTTCGGTACAGTCATCGTAGCGAGGTGGTAAACCCATGTATCGATCCATAACCGAAAGCCTTTGACTGTCAAACCCATGGTGATGTGAGGCGATAAGGAACATACAGCCGATTGAAAGCCATATCCCATTAACAACATGTTCCACTATCTTTGTCTGTCCGATGGCAAAACGTTATGGTTTCCCTAATGATATTGTTTTATATACCATTGGGCTTTCCAGATTTGTTTTCTATTTATAGTATCTTAATAATTTAGTTCATTTAATATATTAGTTTTATAGTGCTGAAAGCTTTGCTAGATGTCCTGCAAATTACCAAGTTAGAGGAACTTTAAATAGTTTACAGATTCTTAGTTAGGATTGCATAAGGTCCATTAAGTTTAAAAACTTTTTGTTAATTTTCATACATTTTGTATTTGGTTTGCTTCCTGTTTATCAAGTGTTTACATACATTCATTTTATTAATGTATTCAGTTTTTCGTTATCATTTAACGTGTTTTGTGTCTATCTACTATATATCTATACAGCGCTAGCGGTTCGCTGTTCTCGCCTTGATTTTTCTTTTTTTGTTTTCTGTTAGAAATACAGTTGAGATGTGAGTGATTTGAGCGCCGACCAGGGTTTTATCAATGTGGAGCAACAGTGCTAGGATCTATTGCCGCGGATTAAATTCGGCACTAGATTCTCGAGCTCCTGTTGCTGCACTTCTTATATCTAATGTTTACATGCTTTTTATAATGTATTCAGTTTTTTAGTTATCATTTAACGTGTTTAGTGTCTATCTAAATCTATATACAGCGCTAGCGGTTCGCTGCTCTCGCCTTGATTTTTTTTTTTTTGTGATTTTAAAAATACGTTTGAGATGGAGCTACACACTTAGGAACTAAACAGTTGACCGAAGAATCATCTAACGGTTGGCTGATGAACTAAACGCTCAGCTACAGCTTTCGTCATCGCTGGTCTCATCTTCAGTTGTGCTTGGTGTACAGTTACCGTAGTTCATTTTGACGGCAAGGTCCAGCAGTGGCTTGAAATTTATTTCTGGCTTAAACTCCTTCAATATATTACCCACTACGGAGAGTAGAGTGCTCATGTGTTTCTCCATTCGCTGTTCGTAGTAACGACGGTGTCTATAAAAGGAAAAATATTCAGTTAATAGGATTTATAGTTACTAAAAAGACGGTTGAATTCAGTTGTTAGTTTGATTTAAAGCGAATAAGCTAAAGTAAAGTCTTATCCTAAAACCCTCACCTGTAATACTTTTCTTTCTCGGAGAGCCTCTTTAAGTTGATTTTCCTGGACCGTCGATGCGGCATGCCCTGCTTGCCCCTGTGCTCAATTACTGGAGCACTATTAAAGCCGCTAAATTGATTATTAGATAAGGATACCTCCCCGCCAACCATCACTGGACCGCACTCAATCTCTTGATAGGTGCCATCGCTCATCTGAAGCAAACCACCATCATCGTCGTCGTCACTGCTTGATTCTTTCATTGCAGCCTCGGCCATCAGTCTGTCTAGCTCATCGTTGTTGCTCTGGACGTTGTTAGTTTCATTATTGTTGTTTTGTTCGCTATTGTCCATTTCACTATCGTTTTCACCTTCACCTTCAGCTTCGGCCTCGCCTCCGCCATCCTTGGGGGGCGAGCGTTCGCCAAAGTTATGATCATTGAGTACGCCTACCATCAGTGGGGAAAGTTGAGCCTGATCACAGGAATAAACATTAGCTATTGTCAGGTTATTAGCCGGCGTCTCAACATTTGGTTCCTTGAGCGCGTATGAATGCAGATCTGTAGTCTTTTGATTCATAAACGAATGGATTATACCAAAGAACTCCCACTCCTTGGCTAACTTATCAATGGTCTCCTGGTCCAGAGTATCACTCTTCACAGTGGTCTTTAGCACTCGGTAGCGTTGTACCATGGAATACCATTGCTTGCGAAGTGCTAACTCGTTGAAATCGCCAATCTTGTTCGATTCCTTTAATCTCCTGTGGGTTTAAAATAAGTTAATTAATTGCGATTAGAAGAGATACTTCTTTAGAAGTAGGTAATAATAAAAGGAAAAAAATCGTAGTACGTGTATTCACTTATTTTTAAAATAGCAAGGAGTTTTTTAAGGAGTCTTGATGAGTTAAATAGTTCTTGAAGGTGTGTTTTAAGGAAAAAGTTCTTATTTCTATTCCGTTACTGGACCAAAATCTAATTCGATTTTTTCTTTTTAACCTATAATGTGCACGTCGTTTTAAATTTTGGAAGTTTTAAGGTATACGTTTTATAAATTTGTCACAAGTTTATTTGTAAAGAGGGATTCTAATAGTAATTTTTTGATCAACAAGCAACAAGCTAATCCCATGCCTTTTCTTAACCTAATACCTAAAACCGAATCCACGTTGTTTTATGTTTTTGATATTCTAGTACATAGGGAATATAAATAGTTTTCAAGTTATGTACTAACTAAACTAAATCGCTAAATCATGTTTTGGAAACCCCCGAAATTTCCGCGTGGAATAAAAAAAATGCATTTCATTTTCTCACTCACTTCCATGGCTCCAGGTGCTTGGGTGAGAACCGGGAAAATACATCTTCGGACGCAATACGCTTCTCTACCAATATATGTTTCTCTTCATTGGACCCTGCAATAAGTTGCAATTGCAAAATTACCAAAAATTTAATTCGAGCAACAACAAAAATTGCATTAGTTTTGTTTAGTTTAAGCAGCGAACACGTGCAGTTGTTGTTACTTACATTTCTTCGAGCCACTCTTGGCATAGCTATGGTGTTCCATTATTGCCGGTTTGTTGGAAGAGGCAATTTGGCAAAGAAGTTGGAGTCCAATTTGAAAATGTTGGGAGAAAAATTAAATTCCCAAAAAACACGCACAGCTCGACTTTTTATTTGCTCTTGCACAGATGTTCTGAATTTCGAAGCAGCCCTGATAGTACTGTGCAACTACGGCTGTTCACGTGCGATAGTTACACGCAACAGCAGGCTGTTAGTTAACAGTGATTAATATCGCTTATCGGGTTATCGCTCCTCATCAAATTTAAATGTTTAGCGCGTTAGGTAGAAACTCTAAAAATAAAAATTATGTTATTTCGTTTAATTTTATTTGCTAAGAAATTTTATATTTTAACCATATGATTATTGTTGTTATTTGTTTGAGTTGCGATAAACAATATAAATAAATTTTTAGAATATTAGTATTCAAATACGTTATAGAGTTTATTTTATGAGTATAGCTTATCGGGTTATTGGTTATTAAGTAAATATATTAAAAAAGTATAGAGCTAAAAAATTATTATTATTATTATGCATATTCTTGGGGTCTAGTTAGATAATTTTAATATTTTGTTTTATATGGTTTTTTAATAGCAACCCCCATTAATTCATCCATAAATACCCTTACTATTTTCTTTAATTTATTTTTATATGATTTATATTTATTTTGTCATTTATTTCCGTTTTCGTTTAGTACCACCGACAATATTGCATGCAATGGAACCGGTTACGACCACACCAACACAAAAGAAGAGGAGGTGTACCAAGATCTGTGCGCCCTCCATAGGACGAGTAGAAGCCAGGTAGAATTTGCCAAAATGCCTGACCGTTGCATGAGACACTGCGGTGGCCCAATATCTTGGCCAGAATCTTGTCCTTACTAATACCTGGATCTCCTTCATCTTTCCCCCATTTAGACCGCCTCGTCGACGAGCTTTGAGCAGCGTGACTATGTCATCCGGGAGCTAATCGACACGGAGTCCAACTATCTGGACGTGCTAACTGCTTTAAAGACCAAGTTTATGGGTCCCCTAGAGCGCCATCTCAACCAGGACGAGCTCCGTCTTATATTCCCGCGCATCAGAGTGAGTTCATCCCCTTTTACTTGACTTCCCAAAATTAAATCGTACTATTTATATCTTTTAGGAGTTGGCCGATATCCATACAAGGTTCCTGGACAAACTGCGGGAATCACTACAGCCCAATGCCAAAATGAAGATGGCACAGGTGTTCCTCGATTTCCGTGAACCCTTCCTCATCTACGGCGAATACTGCTCATCTCTCCTGGGCGCCATTGACTATCTGGCAGATGTGTGCAAGAAGAATCAGATTATTGATCAGCTAGTGCAGAAATGCGAACGGGATTACAATGTGGGTAAACTGCAGCTACGGGACATCCTCTCAGTGCCAATGCAGCGCATCCTTAAGTATCATCTGCTGTTGGACAAGCTAGTAAAGGAGACATCTCCGCTGCACGACGATTACCGATCCTTGGAGCGGGCCAAGGAGGCAATGATCGATGTGTCGCAATATATCAACGAGGTGAAACGGGATTCCGATCATTTGGTTATCATACAAAAGGTGAAAGACAGCATATTTGACCTCCATTTGCTGCAGAATGGAAATGGCAGCGATCTTCTACAATATGGTCGCCTGCTCCTCGACGGCGAATTGCATATCAAAGCGCACGAGGATCAAAAGACCAAGCTCCGCTATGCCTTTGTCTTTGATAAGATCCTAATTATGGTGAAGGCAATGCACATCAAGACGGGCGATATGCAGTACACCTATCGTGATTCCCACAATCTGGCTGATTATCGCGTGGAGCAAAGTCATACGCGACGAACTCTTGGAAGAGATACGCGCTTCAAGTACCAGCTTTTACTGGCTCGCAAGTCAGGCAAGACCGCCTTTACTTTGTACCTCAAATCAGAGCACGAGCGGGATAAGTGGCGCAAAGCCCTCACCGAGGCAATGTAAGTAGAGTCGGACTCAAAGTTTAAACTTGATACTGATTTTGTTGGTTTATATATTCAGGGAAAGTCTCGAACCGCCTGGCTGCCGAAGTACCGACCATAAAATGGAAATCTACACATTTGATGCCCCGACCACGTGCCGTCATTGCTCCAAGTTCCTCAAGGGTCGCATCCACCAGGGCTATCGTTGCAAGGTGTGTCAGATTAGTGTGCACAAGGGCTGTATATCGTCGACGGGACGTTGTAAACAGAATCCGGTTAGTGTACCCCCACCCGTTTGTGATCGACAGTTGTCCGAATTCAATTGGTTTGCCGGCAATATGGATCGAGAGACGGCGGCCCATCGGCTGGAGAACCGCCGCAATGGCACATATCTGCTGCGAGTTCGTCCGCAGGGCCCATCGACAGCTCACGAGACGATGTATGCCCTTAGCCTAAAGTGAGTACAATTTAGTTTAGTCTTTTATATACTTCTTCTTCTTCATTTAAAACTTTGTATTTCTGTCTGTAGAACCGATGATCATATCATCAAGCATATGAAAATCAACCAGGAAAACTCTGGTGATTCCATTCTCTATTGCCTGTCCTCGCGGAGGCATTTCAAGACCATCGTCGAACTAGTTTCCTATTATGAACGCAACGATCTGGGCGAGAACTTTGCTGGGTACGTAAAATCTAAATAGATATACCACTAGGTATATTAATGGACCATTGTTTTCTCTATTGCAGACTCAATCAGTCACTGCAATGGCCCTATAAGGAAGTGATTGCCACCGCTCTGTATGATTACGAGCCAAAGGCTGGCAGTAATCAGCTGCAATTGCGCACGGATTGCCAGGTGCTGGTCATCGGAAAGGATGGCGACAGCAAGGGCTGGTGGCGTGGAAAGATCGGTGACACCGTAAGCTTATTGGAGTTTCCAATTTAGATAGATTTTTAACAAAGCAAATCCTTTTCAGGTTGGCTACTTCCCCAAGGAGTACGTCCAGGAGCAGAAACTGGCCAGCGAAGAGCTTTGATATTACAATTACGAGGTATACTTTGCACCCAAGGCCATTACGCCCACGCCGGCAGCCATTGCTGAATCACCAGGAGCTGGAACTGGAACTGGAGGAGCTGTAGCCGCAACTGGAGCCATTCAAGGTGACCCCATCGAAGGGGCCGTGGCCAGCATCAACAGCCACAGCAACAACAACTGCAGCTAGATCGTACCCTAGTTAAATATATATATATTATACATATATATATATGTTAAGATTCAAATTGTTTTTATTTGTGATTAAGCACTTTTTGTAATTTTATGGATTTTGTGTCCAACTTTTTATCATTTTTTTTTCGTCGTCTGATCGAAACTTTTGTGCCAATCACTGAAAAATTACAAAATCTATATCGTATGTTTGTAATCCACCAATGTTCGTTTGAAAATGTTTACTTTAAATTGTTTTAAATTATATATTGCAAATATATATATCTGTACATGTATATGCTTACATTTTTAAGAAAGCTTAGCTTAAGTTTTATTTTTTTGCGTGTGCCTGTGTTGTTTTTTCTAAACTTCTTTTTTTTCTTTTTGTTTTTAAAAAATGTAATTGTCCCACGTCGAGTGAGGGTTGTGCGAATGGAAGAGAATATATATATTTATATATATATATATGAATGTCCTGTGCGGCATTTCCATACAAACGAAGCTTTAAAAACTTATATTCATATTATATTGTACTGCTAGAAGATATTTAACCCTAGTTGAAACGCAAATGTTAACATTACGAAAGCAACGCAGCCACAAAATGTTCGAACAGAGAATAAGAATAACTACGATGATGTAACGATGTAACGACGATAAGGAAGTAAAAGCTTTAGTAATAACGTTAACCGTCATATATACAACAAGATCAACACTTTAGGCCAGCCAATTTATATAGATATCGATAATTAACTATAATGTACCTATTTATATATATATATATATATATATATATATATATATACATATATATAGCCAACGAATAACTTGCGAAATAATTATTGTTCACTGCGAAAATCAGATGAATCAAAGAAGTAGTTAGAAAACTCAACGAAGTTCTTAAACCAAACAAAAATATATAGATTATAATTCCGCAAAATATCAGTCATGCTCCCATCAACACTTTAAACTTTTATTTCAAATCAGATTTTGGAATTCATAGTATTATTTAATTGCTTAATTTCTAACAATCTTTTATGATAAGTAGGGCAAAAATCCAGTCAATCAAAATGCAGCATCAACCAAATCGGTTTATAAGCAATTAAATCTTAACTTAAATGGTAACCAATTACAATTTTCTATTAAGAGTACAACAAAATCTACAATTTATTGTTAAAATTCAATTAATATTATCATTGGAATTAATCAAAAATGAAGATAAAAATGGGAGTACGTCTGCATGGAGTGAAAATTCTGAAACTATGGCAAATCCAACACAAAACTGATTGCTATATTAATTGATACTTTTCCAAGTTAAAGCACAATCAAATGCAAATTAAGATCACAATAAATAAATATTTAATGTTCTTCTTTTCCGCACAAAGCACTGCAACAACAATAGACACAAAAGATAAAAAATATACTATATTATCATATCAAATTGCTAAGCTAGAAAGTCGGTTTCAGACTCATTCTTCAATGTGTGTTTTTGAGTATGGATGGTTTCATATATATATATATATATTTGAGGTATTGTGATCTTAACTTCATGCCAAAATCGAAACGTTAACAATTCCGTAAGCTGCATTTATCACTAAATAGCCTATCTATCTATCTATCTGTATTTTTTCCAGTGCTCTCTAGCTGTCTCTTTCTCTGTTATTTTCCTATTTTTTTTCGGCAGCTCCAAAATTATGGTTAAGTCAATGTTGTTCTATGGACTAATCGCGGGTCTTTGTGTATGTTTATAAATTTGCATATTGTCGCATCCAGTTTTATGCCAATGTATGAAAAATGTTTTGTGGTTTTATAAAATAAATAAATAAAACGATTAGGAAATCGCTGAAACCCCACAAAAGGCGCGCTAATAAACGACTTTTGTGAAAGTTTTGTTGTTCAATTGAAATCAATTTAAAGAGTCTATTATTTTCCTATGCTATAATGGGGCATATAAACTATAGTATATTTCGTTGTAATATTATATTTATTTTTCATTTATCATATACACATTTTTTTTATTGCACAATCTTGGGTTTTCTCAATTTGTTCTTTACACCTAGAAAGTGATTTTCAAAGCTATAAAATTTTCGTTTTGTATAAATATTTTGCCTGATTTTATATGTCATATCAAGTTTTACATATTTTGAGTCTTTATGAATTCCAAAACCAATTCAATATTTAATTTATTTTTGCAAATAGAAGCAAATACTAAGCAAAATTATTGTATTTTCTCAAATTGTCTTTTTTCAGTTACTTTAATAGTTTATTTTAATTTAGTAATGCTTTTTTAGATCCTCCACTTATTGATTTTAAATACATTGTATTCGTAAAAGCATTTTCCCAAGAAGCAAGTTCCAAAACTGAACCTTCTGGGCTTTTTTTTTGGCAAAAAAATAATGTTTTTATTTATAAACTTTTTAATTTTCTAATCTTCACTTGCTGATTAGCCCACAAGTATGCAACGTGATCTTAAAACATGATTTATTTTAACAAAATAATATGTGTAATAATATTAATTAATCTAAGCTAGTTTGATTAAGGGAATACAATGAGTTGGGCTTTGGAAAAAAAAAAACAAAAAACAAAACAAGAAGATCATTGGACCTGGACTGGTCCTCGTCGACGTGTTATCTTCACCAGTCGCCGGCGACGTTGACGGGGCACTGGCAGTGCCGTTGTCCCAGCTGGAGGCTGCTGATCCGTACCCTGGGCATAGCTGTAGCTAATGGTTCGCTTATAGATGCGCTGCTCCTGCTCGGACTGCTGGGATTGCTGGGATCGCGGCTTGCGTTTGTGTGGTGAGTGGGATGAGGAGGATGACGAGGCTTTCTTCTTTCTGGTCTTTGCGTTCCGACCCTGAACATCGTAGCAGCGTTCAATTTTCTGGCCCTTGCTGTCTTTGCACTCATAGCAGACGCTCTTGTCCTGCTGACGGCGCACACACAGGCTACTGGGTGCAGTCTCCTCCGCGGGCTCCTTCTCAGCGGGATCGTTCCGATAACGCTTGTACTGGGTGCCACTGCCAAAGGCATACTGTTCCGGCTGATCGTCATGCGAGTAGCTACACGTTTCAGAAACCTCGTTGTTCTTCAACTGTCGGCAGATCTCACACAGCTGTCCATCTTTCCGTTTGACCCGCCGGCAGCGCTGATCTTTCACATTAGTGGCCTCCGCCTGGGTCTCCTCCTCTAGATCGTAGCTGTCGTTGTCGTGGTCGTGGTTTTCGCCCGCAGCCCGATCGAAATACTCCTTGACAAACTGCTCGTAGTTTCGTTCGTAATCCTCACCGGAATATCCCTCATGGCTGGTCTCTGCACTAAGGCTATCCACATTGTCATCAGCTGCGTCTGCCTCCGCCTCCGCCTCGACATCCACATCAACGTCCACATCCTCATCCGCCTTGGCCTGTGCTTGGTTTGCTGCCAAGACAGGCTGCACAATCTCCGGGAGCTTTACCACTTTTGATTGATCCACATCAGTGACGGTGAGGGCATCCAAACGTTGAAGCAGTTTGCCTGGAGCAAAGGCCTCCCAGTAGTTGACACTCCTATCATAACTGTCCGCCTGGGAGACGGCTAAGCCGAGTAGTAGCAGCAGCTCCGGCAGCAGCATTGCACTGAAAGCTGGGACTTCCGTCGCTAGCCGTTGCTTTTATGGACTCGAAACTCGGCTTGAGTCCACAAACTCTACTCCACTCCACTCCACATAGAAGTTTGATCAATGGAGCGTATCCACAGAAAAAACCGCAGAGCCATCAGGAAGTGTGACCCAACTGATCCGCGAGGAGGGAAGTGCGAGTGAGTGAAAGGCAAGATTTATTTCGTGTGGCCAATCAACTAAATCGAACAAAAGATAAGCTAAACAGAATGGAAGTGCTGGTGGTGATCGGTTGTGGAATGGTCAGAGTAGTGGATGAAGGTGGCTAGGGGGCATATTGCAGCAACAACTACGCGGCACGTTGTCCCTCAGTCAGCCGCTGAGCGCCAACAGTGGGCGGAGCTGGTCGGGCGGCCGGTTGTCGCTGATGGCGCAACTCACGACGCTTTTCCCTGAGGATCTGTTTGGTCTGGGAGGTGTCCAGCTCCTCCCAGCCACCAGCATTATCATCTACCCAGTCCTCGAGATCAGCCTTTTAAAAGATATGAATATTATTGAAAAAAGTTGGATAGCTTTCGCTGTATCTAGCTTACATTATTGCTAATGGGCACCAGGTCCTGGGCCTGCAGTCTTGAAAAGTCACTTGGTTGGCTGGACGCCGCATTCGTGGTTGGATCCTCTAAATAAAACTTCAGCTGCGGTTTGATGGTAGGTGTCAGTTCCTGGAAGAAGGAAATCAAAAATTAAATACGGACCTCAAAAAACTTGTGGTAAGAGTTATACAAGTATATTTTTGATTTTTAGAAGGTAATGTACCTTATGATTTGTTTTCTATTTCAAAACTTCAAAAATTAACGACCATTCAATAGGCTACATTCGCCTGTATTACAGATTGTAATAGTTACAGATATATATAGTTATTGACAACTTGGAGTAATTCCATTACGAACTTTAACTAAACATTGAAACTGGTTCTAACAAGTAAATAATAATAAGTAAATATTAATAAACTTCAGCACGTAGTCACTGTAAACCTAATAATTTATTACGTTTTACTTTTTAAGCAGTACTAAACTACATTTTAAAACAATTATATTTTTAAAAATTTTCTGAGTAAATATATTAACATAATATTTAAAATCACTCTTTCACAATGAATTCTTATAGCTTAACTAAACAATTTAAATGTTTTATGAAAATAATTAAATCTCTTTAATTTTAAGTATTTAAATTTATATTTCTCTATTTTTTTTTAATATTTCAGTGCCTAATTTAAAAAAGAAGTTTGGTTGACTTTTTTAAGGCAATAAACGGGGTTATCTGGATATGATTGCAGATAAAAAATAATCCCCAGCACTGCTTACAAAATATATATAGGATATATCATCTGTTATTAGATGATATAGACTACCTCTATAGTTTCGAGTGCTATTAGCCTGACCACCACTGTAATCCACGGCTATTACATATGTGCCAACTCACACTGAAGAAGTCCGGTTCTGGTTCCTCCTTGGGTGGTGTGGGTGGCTGAGCCATTCGCTGGCGATATTGTTCGATGTGCTCCTCCACAGTACGTGGACTATCGTCCCAGGAGTTCCAATCCCGTTCCTTTGGTCCCGCTGTTGCCCTGCCACCCGTTGGATTTGCGCCGGGGGTGGCAGAGAATTCTCCCCGTTCCACAATCACATTCACCGCCTGCAGGTCACCGGATCCGGAAGAGGATCCGCTGTGGCTTAGTTTCCGGCGCCTGGAGAAGCAGCACAAGGCACGCCGGCACAGCGTTATGATGCCCAGCACCAGCATCTTTATTTGCTGCAGCATTGTCACCTGGTTAACTATTCCTATACACTATATTATTTACTAAATTTCGGTTTTGGTCCCGTTAGTGTGACCGCCACCGTGGCAGCGGCGAATACCATTTTCACCATTGGCACCAAAATAAAGATACGGTCACATCCAAATACCAAAAACAGTGACCAAACTGTTAAACTAATTTCAAATTCAAATTTTTAAATTACATTTTAAATTTATATATAATAATAATTATTTTAAATTTTAACTTCATTCAAAAAAATTTTTTAATATTATTAGTAAACTTTTACAAACTCAATTAATCCTAAAAAATCTATAGTGTTTGTTAGTTTAAATTTATTGTTAATGAAAACAAGAACATGTTGTTTAATGGACCATGGCACTCCTTCCTTGTTCCTCCACGTCTTCGTGATCGACATTGTCGCGTTCGATTTTGTTGCGCCTTCGGAACTTTACAATTAAGACTTCAATGACCCAGGGAATGGCGCACAGCATCATGAATCCATTGAGGATATTGAAAACCAGAATATAGTCCTTGGTCTTGTCGCGAATAAACCCAACAATTGGACCAATTAGGAACATGGCATTGCCTTGTGTGAACATGAACAAACCATAGCCAGTGGCGAACCTAAATAATGAGATATGTAATAAAGCTTATCTATTTAGGTTTTAAGATAGGACTTACCTCTCCTTGGGCAAATAATCAGCAAAGACGAGAGGCAATGGGACATGGACCCAGGTGCGCAGAAATCCAATTACGGCCGTAATGCAGGCCATGCCCACAAACTCGGTGATGCCATTGAAAACTGTTAAGAAACAACTTAAAATATAAAATACATTTTAAATCTTGTTTATCTATAAAATCCTACCAAATCTTGCAAAGACCGTGAACACTGCTCCAGCCAAGTAAATATATCTGGAAGGAACTTGGATACACACTGCGGTGATGGCCAGGAAAATACGAGATGACAAGTCGGCGGCTGCTCCAATGGCTATAATGGTGGCTGTATCGGGCTAAAAATAAATAAATGTAGTTAAACATTCGTAATACATTAAAAAAAAAACCTAAGCTTGCTTATACTTTTACTATATATCTAAAGGAAAAACTCAAATGACTATTTTTTCTACTTAATTTAAACCAATTCGACGCTTCGTGTTATTTAAAGAGTAACAAACTTTTTAGAAATCTCGATAACAATTAGATTCCATGAATTAGAGCGGAACAGCAATAGATAAAAGGATAAGTACACAAATCTTTAAAGGTCCACCCCTAGCTCTGTTATTCCACGAACACGATCAAAATGAATTCGGAAAGACAAAATGGCGCCAACGTAATCGGCAAGCTTCCTTCGTGCTTCTTCGTGGACGCTAGCGCGGCATTTTTTGCGCATTTTTAAAAAGCTGTGCAAAGTAATTAAAATTCTCTTAATAAATTAATGGTTGTTTATATAATTTTACGGAGAGCTGAACTGTAAGTAACTACCATATAATTGAAGTGTTCAAAAACTGTAAGTGATCTGGATTTTATTTTTACAAGTGTTGGTGTAAGTTAGTGACGCCATTTTGCGTAAAAAAAATATGGTGTGTATTTGTTTTAAGAGGTTAGATTGGATTTTAATATATGATTGTATAGAACAGTAAGCGTACATATGTACATGTACAATGGTATTATGTACTTACATATGTATGTAAATACATATTGGTATTCTTGAAAAAATTAAATCAAAAGTTTGAAGATCATATACATACATATGTATGTATGCACATATGTACAAATGTGTGTATGTGCGTCGCTTTTTGCATTCCTTTTTGAACAGTTTCGTGGACGCCGTTCGTTTTGATTATCGATTTGATCTTCGTTTTTTTTTAGTGTGAACTTTAATTACTTTTACATCATTATAAACTAACAAAATATAAAAAATCTAATAACTTACCTTACTATATCCTAGTTCAAAGAGGTACACCGGCTGCATAGTAAAGAACGTGATGTCCGAGTAGAGGGCGAAGGTTATACCCAAGACAATGTTCACATAGATGGGTTTCTTCAGTAGCGTCAGATCAAGAAAATCGACAATGATCTGCACCAGACCTTTCTTTGGATTGTCATTCTGGGTCACCGATCCTCCAGTTGCACCAGTATTGCCTGCGTCTGCTCCAGCCGCACCGCCAACAACCATACTTGTACGCCGTGAGGCCTGCAGGCTGTGCATCATCTGGGGCGAGGCATCGCTGACCACCACTGCTCCAGACCAATTACCTAGGCTGGTGATGCTTGAGGCCCGGCTGGAATGCACCCTCAGCACGTGCTCTTCGGCGTGGGAGAGTCTGCGCGTTACAGGATCGCCGGCATTGTAGGTGGGCTCCTCCATAACAGCCTTCAGCGGGGTTTCCGGCTGAACTCTTACCACAACTGTTGGTTTAACTGGCTTCTGTTCATTGAGCTCCTTCAGTTCCTCACCCTCCTCTGCAGTGATGGGTACACGACGCATGTGCCACTCTACTGGGTGCATTACGAGCATTCCAAACACAGCATGGGCATTCAATCCGGTAAGTATAAGCAGGCATCCCCTGAAGCCATACCATTGCATTAATTTCTGCATCACAATAGGATACAACATGGATCCCAGACCAATCAACGTCTGGGCGAAGCTCATCCACATCACTCGATTCTTGACAAAGTAATGATTGAAGGTCGTATAGCAGGTGGGCACCATCAGTCCGAAGGCGAAGCCCTGGACCAAACTAAAGGCTATAAGCAGGTGCAACGTGGAGGTGGCGAAATACTGTAGTCCTGTGCCCAGGAAGTACAAAATGCCACCAGTCACGCCCACTGGTCGCATTCCAAATCGCTGAAACAGGGAGCCCGAGAACAAGCCAGCGAAACTCATTGACGAGAAAAAGGCGCTGGTGATGATGGCCATGGCACTGGTCTCCGCTCCGATACTCTTCAGGAAGTCGCCGAAAACCAGGCCAAACGATGGCAATGCCGCCAAAGCACTCGTCTGTTAAAAAAAAAAGGATGATCAGGTGAGTCTATGTTATCTAAGGTTGTATTTTTGACTGGGTATTATATCACTGGGGATTTTCTGTCTGTACAAGTTTGGGGACAAATATGTTTACACATTATTATAAATCTTAAAGGAGCACAAGATTAGCTTTTAAGTTTCTATTTTTAAACTATTCAACTATATTTTTGACTTTTATATAACACACAGCGGTATCCATATCCATTTGAAAATCTATATCTTGACTAAAACAAGATATTGTTGCACTTTATTTCTAGTCCAGATCTTTCCTAATTCCACTTACAAAAGGCAGGGCCATGCCAATGCAGACAAGGATTCCCCAGCCGCCATCGGGAGCCTCCAGTTTATAGGTTTTCGACTTTTTCATCTCGAATGCTGGGCGGCAAATGACTGGCGAACGACTGACTGAAGTCGGAACTTCAGTCAGATGTCAGCCAGATATCTTAGGCATCCCATCCGTGTATATATATCAATCGCATCGCATCATATAAGTCGGAGCAACCAGTAGCAGACTTCTTGATTATCCGCTTATCGCACCTCGGGTCGCTTTATGGCCAAGCTAAGCTTCTTATGACGAAGGTTTATAATTTGGCTTTCCCGATAAGATTAGCTAAATATACATCGTTTAGTTTAGAATTTTCTTAGTTGACACGTCCTCTGCCTTCTATTGTTCTTCAAGTATTTCCGTGAATGTAAATACATAAATTTCACGCCCCCTGAATTCTCAGTTGTGATTGTAGGTAATATTACATTTGCGAATAACGAATACTTGTTTTGAGCATCATTTGGTTTTTATCATCTATCTAGCACCTCTATCGAAAACAAGTTGGCCCAACTTTTTGCTGATAAGAGAAGAGGTTCCAGAACTAATGTCTTTAGATTTACAACAGTCATCTTGGGCATCGTCGTGCATGTACCACCTACTCCTCTCTTCGTGAGATTTCTTGTGTCTAATTTATACAAACTTAAATTTATTCTTCACGCATTACATTTGTTTGCCTTCGGATGCTTGGTCTTTGCTCAACTTCATCCTATAAATGACTTCCAAGTGGGTTGATAATGATGGTTAAGTGTTTCTTGGCCGGATCTTTGAGTTCCTAGCTGATTCTGTGGCAAGATAGTTGGCATTTCCCAAGAGATACTGAAGCTAAACTTCAAGAAAATTGTAAAATTTCTTCATTTAAGTCTTGGCTTTTGGTATTTTGAAGAAGTTGTTAATATCCATGCCATTTATGGGTTACTTTAATATTAGGAACTAACTTTTATCTCAAGATCTCACCTGTTTCAGGAAAGAAACTTCTTATATGTAATTATTTTTTCATCACTTTATTTTTCCATTTTAATATACACATATATTCATATACTGATACAATATATATATTATTTAATAAGGCTACAATATCGGGCAATACATTTCCAAAAGTTTTGCTTTTCACACACGCTCGTATCAAAATCGCTCGTTTTTTTTTCTTTCTATTAACTAATTCGACAAAAAAATATATAGAATATATACTTTGATAAATTTAAGTACCCAAAATATACTTAATATATGTATAGTATATAGTAGTTTGTGTATATAAGTATATCCGAATGTCGTTAACTGGGCAACGGTTAAGTTAGTTTTTTTTTTTGCAGTGTAGCATTACTTACCGCGCCCAAAAGTATGCTACACAGAGTTTACTTGGTCATTTGTTTGCATTTATTGCTTATCGGTTGGGTTTAGTTGCATTTTGGTTAAATAATCTAATAGATCTTCTTAAAAGATTATCATTTTCCGAACTTCGATATTGATCTTGATGTTTTAGTGCTTTCAGCCCGCCATATATCATATCATATCAATTGTATATTTAATATATTTTGTGGCATTTCGTTGGCTTGGGATCAGCAGAGCCCCAGAAAACTTCTGGCGTGAGGCTTTTCAATACATTTTTCCAATCACGTCTCGTTCGATCTCTTTCTTGTATATATCTCTTCAGTTCAATTAACGCGCATTACACATATGATAAATGATATAATATATATATATATATATAGTATTTTGTTTTATTTATATTTGTATAGTAATAGTTTAGTTTAGTTTAGTTGTTTTGTCGTTGCTTAACATCGCTCTTAAGGTACATTTTAAAGCCGATCGATCAATTTTCAACATTTATTTTTCTTATTTTGTTGTGGCATCGTTGTTGTTGCAGTTGCAATTACAACTGCGCCGATGCAGATATCATTATTTCTATAATTAATGTTTAACTTCTAAAATTATAAACTATCTTTGAACTATCACATACAAGTTCACTAATAAACAAAAGAGGGAGAGAGAGAAAAGAACAATTCAAGGCAAAAAAACATAAAAGAATTAGAACGGCTAAAAAATGAAAGTAACTAAGAAACTTAAATGGGTTTTTTTTCTTGATTTTTCTTGATTATTAAGAATTAAACGCACTTTGTTGTGGTTTCTTTAGGTTCATACCCTTAGGTTGATTTTCAGTTGTTGAGATTTATACAACTAAAACTGACAAATCTTGCCTATATATATCTTTATATAGTTATATGTTATATGTGTGTGGTATGGAGTGTGTGTGTGATTATGTCTCTCCAAGATTTCAAGTCTCACTAAACATATTTAAAAAAAAACACGAATATTAGAGCGCAAACGAAAAAAATGACTTAACTAAGTTGAGTTTTAATACATTTTGGGGGGATTTTAGGTACCCACACTAGAGAGTTAAGAATAACTATTAGTGGTAGTTAACCATTTAAGTATCTTTACTCTTTTTGTGCAGGTAACCTCTTAAGTATATATGTATATTTAAAGTTTTTGGGTACTCGCTGGAGGATATCCTCCGCCCCGCGGCGAGACTGTCTTCCTTAATGTAGATCTCTCTAGTCCATCTTCATTGTTTTGTTCTGGTCCATTGTTTTCCCCATGCCAACAGCTGCTTCTTACAGTTTCACATCATTCTGTCCTGTCGTTGTTGTTGTTGTCGTTGCTCCTGCAACATCTTGGGTGGGCAGCTGGGCGGCATCGGCTGTGCGACGTCTCGATTGGATATACTCCACCAGATACTCAATGCCCCAGGCAAAGGCACAAATCATAATGCAAACGCTCTGAGTGTGTATACAAATCGGATAGCTGTCGGTCACATCACGAATGAGACCTGTAAATGTAAATGAAGTTTAGTTTTGGGATTCAAGTTTAAAAATATCTTTAGTTTGACTTACCAATTAGTGGACCAAATGTGATCACAAATAGGGCTTTGCCCACCAAATGCCAGCCAAAAGCCGAGGGCAGTTTCTCCAGTGAACAATATTCAGAGACGGTTAAGGTAAAGTTACTCAGAGCAGATCCTCGGAAAAAGCCGCAGATGGAAAGCCAAATCATCAACTGGGTCCATTCTGTCTGCTCAGCCATAACTAAAATGATAATCAATGTGTTATTGTTTAATTGTTAGCAAGGGGGAGTGTAAGTTGGAAAAGTAAATTACTTAATCGAAAATGCAGTATCAACTATACTATGTTTATCTTATTTTCGTATATAAAAGAAATAATTTAAATCAAAAACTTTAAAACTACTCACTTGAACGTGTCAGTGCCACAAAAATGATGGAAACTAGGAAAACAGTCCGCTTCTTGATTGTGGTACGATCGAAAATTGGTGGTAACACTATCCTAGCTGCAATATCCGTAATGGCCGTGATCGAAAGACAGAAAGCCACATCAGCCTTCTTATAGCCCAGATTGGCAAAAAAGAACGGAGTGACCATCTTAAAGTTCATCTCGGCCACATAGAAGATAGAAAGACCGAACAGCAGATTGAGGAACATCTTATCCTTGAGCATATCAATATCAAGAAGATCGGCAAATCGACGCCAGAAGCCTGCTTTCTTGGCCTTCTTCTTAGCCTCCTCATCAAGGGCAGCGGCTGCCTCGGCCTGTTTATCCAATTCAGTGGGTTTCATCTTAATGAAACTATCGCGATGACCGCCGAGGACAATGCTGCCCGTGGCGGTGCCAACACGTCGCAGTTCACGATCGTTCTGCTCGAACTCATCGTCGCCGGTGTTGAGATGCACCTGGAGAATGGAGCCGGTGAAGTCCATGTAGGAGAGGTTCGAGGTGACCGAGGCCTTGCGGCAGCGCAGCTGCGTGGCATTGACCTCCGCCTGTGATGTATAGCCGCCAGAATCAGCGCCATGGGCAGCGGACTGTACACCGGCCAGGGACATGATCCTTGGGAATGTTGGCCTCTTTGGCAAACCCAGACGTGTACCATTCATTGTATTCATGGCCATTTCAGAATAATTCTTGCGCATCGAGTTCTGGTGGGGATTATGCTTATGGAATAGCAATGTGTTCATTTCTGGCAAGGCATCCTCTTCGTTGCCATCCTCTTTGATCACCTTGAACTCGGGCGCTCCAGCTGATGCCGCGCCACCTGCTCCGCCCACCGTCAGCTGGGGCTGCGGGGTGGGCAGGGCCGAGATGCACATCAGCTCCTCGTCGTCGAACTCCTCCTTCATGTGCCACTTCACCGGCTGCAGCAGCACCGATCCGACCGTGGCATTGAGGGCCACGCCAGCCAGCAACAGCACTGCCCCGCGAAAATCATAGGCCTCCAATAGGATTCGCACTAGCTGCGGCATTATCAGCATTCCCATGGCTGTACCAGCCATCGAGAGACCCACTGCTTGTCCACGCTTATGCTTGAAGTAATGATTGAGAGCCACAAAGGCCGCCGATGTAGAGAGACCAACCCCAATGCCGTTGATCACTGAATAAGTGCTGAGGATATGGGCCATACTCGTCGCCGGCGATGTGAGCGCCAGGCCCAGGCCACACAGTAAAGATCCAGCAATAGCCACTTTGCGGTAGGAGAACTCCTTAAGCAGTGGTCCCACAAACAATCCAGAGAAGTTCATGCATACGTCCAGCGCACTGATGATGACCGCAGCTCCCGTGGTGCCCACATTGAGTTCCTTGAGGGTGTCGCCGAAGAGCAGACCGAACGAGGGTTCAATAGAGCGGGTTGCCAACTGTAAGATGAGTTGGGAAAGGTTTTGAATGAGTGATTGGAGTTATTATATAGAAATTAGGGTTAATTTATCTTAAATATAACTTAGAACCAAGTCGAGAATCAACGATTTCTTTTTAAGAAGTACCCTTAACTTTGGCTAAGAACTTTTTCATCTTATTCCTTCTTATACTTCATGGTGATTCAACCTAACAGATTATAGATATATCAATGATCGTTCTACAAGCTGAATCGCTTATTCTATGATATTTCTTTATGATTCCACCCAAAAACAACTCCTAACTTTGATTAAGAACAATTTCCACAAATTTCTTCTTATTTTCCTTAATTATTGAATCTTTTAGATTATCAAACGATCAATATTGATTATTCCCCGATCCAAGTGATCGTCCCACCAGCTTAATTGTGCTTGGAATTGTGATCGTTAAGCGCCCCATAAATTTTACACTTGCTCCATGGACATTGTATTACTTTCATTCCATTTGTATTTTTATGTGGGCCAATTTGTTCGCGCTAATCTGCCGTTCGGATGCCGCGTGATTTATCGGCACTCTCTGGAGGCGCAACTTGGAATATAATTACGTAGCCAGAGAGGAGGTAGAGGGAGTGAGGCCATAACCATTTTTTTATAATTATCAGCAAAACCATTCTTTGAGGATTGCGAGGAGAGGAAGTAGGGGAAAAACATATAACGTCATCATATATATATCATATCGCGAAAAATAATCCCTTATCAGTTTTTAGTTTTCGGAATATGAAAAAAAAAACCAAACTTCAGTGAGGGCAAGTGGTCAAAAGGCACAATACATACATAGCACCCCTATCTCGATGCACTTCAGATGATGATGATCCTCTTCAGGCCCCCTGTTACCTTATCGATTGTGCAATCCCCATAATGGCCACCATCTCAATGGGTGACCACGTCAGTCGCGTCCGTCTTATCATCAGGCGAGGAACTCGGGATCCTACGTTCTTTTCCATTCATGATTGATTTGATTGATGGTTTTTCCTAACCCTCCCCCCTCTATACATGTGGGATCCCTGCTTTCGGGGGAGGCCTTGTGGTACCATCCTACATATTGGCCATATCTACCTGTCATGACTCGAAACTCGAGCATGTCTAATTTGTATGCGTAAAGTGGCTTGGCCTATAAAGTGGACTGGTGTGAATTTGGTATTAGATGATTAGATTGACATTAAAATTTACTTTTTTTCTTTTTGGTTTATTTTTTTAGAGGCCAACTAGGTGAAATATGATTGTTAAAGTTTTGTCTTTTTGATAGTTTTTTACTTGATCAAAATTGATATTTTGGGAAACCCATTTTATATAATACTTTATCCCTTGGACTTTAAACTATCTAAATGCTGATTTATATGGTAATATATGTATAAAAACTAGGTTAGTCAGAGCAGAACTAATAGCGATAGTTTAAGTTACTAACTTTTTGTACACATTTCTAATGACTTTACTATTTGCTGTCATAAACTCTATATTGTTGTCAGGGCTTTTTAGAAAATCTACATCAAACTTTTAATGATATTGCCCAACCATATTAAACCTTCTAGTTAACTAGGCTTGGTACATATGTATGTATAAACGATTGATGGGCTTCTTAAAGTGTTTTATTTGCTTTGGGCCTGGGCTGCGATTATTATTGATTGCTGCTTTTGGTGCTTATTGATTTTCTTCTTTTCCCCCGTTCGAAATTTTAAATTGCGGTGTTGTTGTTGTAGTTGTTGTTGTTTTTTATGGGGCGTTTCAGTCAAAGTCTTAATTGCTTGATAATTGAATTATCAAAACTCATAATTGAAGGCAGGGAAACAACATCTGAAGAAAAACAACACGCGCTGGCAAGGTGTTCGCAGTAAAAAGTGTTGCTAAAAAAAAATGGTTCAATCATATTCCGATTGATCGTTGGGGGTGAGAAGTCGTTGATATTGGGGCTCCATAATTCAGTTTAAGTTCCCACACTTTGATTTCAAGACGACGGTCAATTACAGTTGATTGATCAATTCGAATTGCCAGCGTAATAGAAACTTTTATCGTTTTGTATATAGAATCTTGATATACTGATTGATATTGTAAGAATTTGATTTGGTTTTTAGATAGAAAATGTTAAGGTTGATCCCTTAAAAATGCTAAAATGTTTGAATAAAAATCAAATTCTGATTCTGATTTACATTAAAAGTCTCGCTGTTCTGGATTCTAAACCATTTCAATATGCATAATATCTATTCGAGACTTCCGCTAATAACAAGGAAATCTCAATCAACGCGTGTTCGATTCAAGAATCAAGAATATATATATTTTAAGAACAACCCAACAACTTATCCCACGACCAGTTTTCTCATTTCAAATTTGCACATTTTCAGCTCAGCAGGGGGAGGAGGAGGAGGTGGAGGTTTTATTGTAATGTGTAAATAAATTTGTTTTCGTAGACTATATTGCCTGTTGTTTGGGGGATTGTTTATAGCCATATAACATACTATATAGATATATATTCTTATATATATATATTATTTTTGTTTAACTCCCAATGTGGTCGACATTTTTAGCGAAAAACAGCCAAAGACAAACAGCAAACCCGTTAACAACCAGAACCAAGATCTCGTATCTGTTTGTTGGTTATAGCCACTTCGAGTGAGCAACTTCGTGGCTTTTCTAAATCATCTTATTGATTTATGTACCTCTGGGTATAATTTAATTGTGATAGATACGAAATTTGCACAATTAGCTGCTAACTTATTTTTAAACATTTCGTGCAATATTTTCAAATCCAATTTACATGCGGATGAATGCGGATGCCCCCCGCCGTTGATGCCGCTGCCTGCGTGAAATTAACGTGACACTTGAGTGTTCGCTTGGGTTTTCCTTCTGTTTTCTTCTACATTATTGTGAAATCTGTAGCTATATGGAAATATAGCTAACTGAATGGGATTACTTAACTGATACGTTTGTTTCTAGCTTAGTCAGAAATTTGTGTTTTTTAGGGGATATTTTAAAGAGGGGGCACACACGAAGCTAGTTAAGATGTGATTTATAGGTTTTTCGATAGATGTCAAACGCTTAAGTAGTCATAAATAACACTACCAAAACGGTAGCCATAAAAGGTTTTTTAAAATTTTTAAACAAGTGTTTTCATATATATATAATAATATAAGATTTTGTTTCATTTTTGGACTATTATTAATAGATAAAGTAACCATAGCTGAGCAAGCTGATTTGGTGAAAGATTTCTAATTAATCTGACTTGGTTTTCTATTAACTAAACATAAATATATTCATAAACCTATATAAAACCCCCCTAATAGTTATTAGACTAATATTCCTGTAAGCCAAACCCACTGTTACTAGTTTCTATTTATGGCTGCTCTATTTTTTAGCACCTTAACACTCAGGAAAAACCTATTTCACAATATGTAAATATAGCACGCCTGGGTCCCGGGATACAAAAAGTTCCATCGTCGTCTATCTGGAAAGATATTGGTGGGAACCACTTGGCGGCGCGTGTGTTAGTTGGGCTTCAAATTCGAATTCACTTTTGGCGTGTTATCAATTTTTTCAAGTCCAAAGTTCGTGTCTCTGCGAATCGTGTATGGATTTGGATTGGTTGAAAAGGGGATAGACTCTAGACTAGATATTATAATGTCATCATAATGTGTCACCCAACCAGTCCATGTCCAATGATGACGTCGTCATTGACTAGCAGACGTCACTCAGTCATCCTCCCTCCTGTGTTCCTTCGAGAAACCTCTTGACCGACCATTTGTCGTAAATCAAGTCCATATACCATCCTATCGATTTCCCATTAAGTTTTGCGTGGCATTTTTTATGCTTTCAACTTGATATTTCATCATTCCCTTTGTCTCTCTGTCTTTTGTCCTTCACATTTTCAAATATATATATATATATATATATATAGCTTTATGTATATATGTATATTTAAATGGTATCTGAGGAGGCATTCATTTGGCTGTTCTTCAACTTGATAAGGAGTGAATTGTTAAGCCCTAGGTTAATTTCCGGGTGGCTCTTTGGTCTCTACCTGAGACATACCAAAGTAATTGCCCTAACAGAAGTTAGTAGCTCATTTATATGTACACCAGAATCGGCCAATTACCTGGTAATCGTCTAGATAAATTGTAAAATTGTGTAATTGAGAATGTTTAATGAATTTATTTTTGGTATTTTTCTATAGCGCAGCGCACGCATTTTTCAATTTGTTGTGCGGAAAATTGTAATTTAATATTTACGTAATTGCAACCGAAACATGCAACCAATTTCATATTTAGTATTAGTAATTAAAGGTTTTCTCTTCGAATTAAAAGGTTAATTGAAAATAAAGGGGTGAGCTATAAGAAAATGGGTTAAATATTAAAGGAAAACTATGCTTTGTTTATGGGTTAAAATGTATGGCAGGGGTGCTCAACGCCTATGATCTAAGTGCTTATTTGTAAATGCTGCTTGCTGCTTGCTCGCCTATAAGCTTTGACCGCTAACTGCGCTATTCCACTAACAATTTTTCGTTTTCTTTTTTCCCCCTTATTCCGTCGCCAACTACAATGTAATTGGTTCTTGTTTCTTCCTGGATCATCCTCGAACTCCTTGCTATTCTAACAACAATATTTCGCTTTCTTTTTTCCGCCTTACTCCGTCGCCAACTACAATGTAATTCGTTGTTGTTCCTTCCTCGATCATCCTCGAACTTTTGCACTGAAATTCATTCCTTATAACTTCTGTTTGCACTTTGGAGTTTATTTCGCATTCAGTAAAATGAATGATGAATTGTTTAGCAAAACAAAAGTGTTTTTCTTTCTCTCAGTGTAAATCTGTGAACCAACACAAAAGCATCACTAAATATGTGCTTTCTTGTAATTGTGATAGTAAATGCTCTGAAGTATGACGAATTTGAGCACCCCTAGCTTAGAATTTAAAGGTATTACTTGAAATATTTCCAAAATACTTGCAAGTTCAGTTCAAGGGAAAAGAGGAGAGTGGTA